CCCAACCCCAACCCCAACCCAAACCCCAAACCCAACCCCAACCCCAAACCCACCTCCAAGAGGAGGTAGAGGATCTAAGAAGAATTGATGAAGCCTCAAATGAGTATTATTAAACATTTAAACATTTATATACAACAAATTTTATAAATAAAATAAAATATTTTTATAATTAATCGAGAGATCTTGTATGGATTAAAATAAATACTATATTGTAATCATAGTTAGATTTTGTTTCTATGGTAGAAACTTGCAGAATTACTCCATTAATTAATAATAATATCATTCTCATTACAAGTAAAAAAATAGAATAAATTATATAGGCTTAAGATATGAGATTTAAGATTTAATATATAAAATTATCAAAATTTGAATATCTACTTATGAAGCACTTCCAAATTCAGAATTTAGACAGGCTATGATTGGAAAGCATTACATCTACACGATTATATAACTATAGCCAATTATCAAATGGATCCTGGTACTGTCTCATATAAAACAGTGGATGAATGATTTTATAATATTTGGCTTATTTGAATAATTGAAATTGTATTCTAAACATATTAATAATAATTCATAGTGCCTAAAAGATGCATAATCAGTTGTATTTTAGAAGGAAACTTAAGATTAAGTAAATGATAATGTCAAAGTTGAATTTTCTAATAATCTAGAGTATATCGCCTTCTGAATAAATTTGATATTCCCATAAATAAAATATATGGATAGAAAACAAATTATGATATTGAATGTCATATTCAAATTATTACGTTTCTTTAAGAATCTATTGAATACATTTGACCAAGATACAGAATGAAAGAAAAATTTTTTTTCATTATGACCATTTGTTAATTATTTTTCAAATCAACATCTTTATTATTCCAAGCTACAATCTGTTACATTATATAAAATAAATGGCATTAGCAATATTTTTTTTTCCTATGGTCCAAATGTGATTCTGGTATGATTCTGCCTATTAATGCATCGTTGAATTTAAATAATTTATAAAATTAAAATTGATAAATTCGTATTTGTTATCATTTATAAAACAATATGAATTTTATTTTCAGAAATAGGAGTTAAATCAAATTTAGGTTAAGGAATACATTTCATATTTTCATTTGATTTAACAATATTTATAGTGTTTAAAAATTTTATTCATATTCAAATCGTTAAATAAACAATCTATCTTAAGATTCAGAAAAACAAAATCTTTGTCTCTTAATGTAAATAAAATAATTAACAAGAATTTTCTGTTGATGACACTAAAAAAATTCTTCAGTAGGAAAAACTCAACGCTAATTTAAATCTCATCTGACAAGGTCTAACTTTTGTGAAATTTAGTTTAAATTAAAGGGGTCATATACTCGAATTGTAATGTGACTTTTAAATTTAAAGCAAGTTACAAAATTTCTACATTAATATTTGATTTATATAAATTACTTAGAGTTGGCTCGTCAATATTTATCTTTGATACTAATTGTTTTATTGAAAAATCAATTATTTATTCAAAATAAAATGTCAATAAATTATCTTCTAAAGACATAATATCTTAATTTATCACATTTACTATTTACTATATTGATTTTATTCTAAAACCTTTGTTATCTTTTTACAATTTCATTTATTGCATTTATTTCCTTCAATTATTCAAAAATCCTGATGTTCTCTTTTAATATCATTTTATCTAATTTAACTTCTGGCAATAGCTAATTACTGTATATCACAAGTAATGTTATTTTTGCTTTTTAAATTTCAAAGGTTAATAACAATGTTGATTTTCTTTTTAATTATTATTCATACAGAAATAACAACAAAACTCCCTTTGTTATAAAAGAAAATGATATTAATTTCTTTATTTATATTATAGTCTTATTGAAAATAAAAATGATTTATTGTAACATTAATTTAAAAAAAAAAAAATTTAATTTATTTTTTAAGTTTTAACATTTTCAGAATGTTCAATGAGACTTCAATTTTTACAACATTAAACCATTATATTTTAATAGTCAAATTTTAGAAAACCAGTTACTTCAAATCATTCATTATTTTTTACTGTTCTTAATTTTCCTAGCGTTTACATTTTAGAATTTAGAAGAATTTCAAAAATATATTATAACTAAAAAAACTACTGCTGATCATACTAATTATAACAAAATATTTGAAGTATAACGCTGCTATTCTCATTCTCATGGTTGATATTAAAATTATTTTGACTCCAATTATTGAGCTAAATAACTCAATTAAATAAATGAATTTCTGGCTAGAATAAATAATTACTAAGATGTTACAATTTATCATTAGAAGGTATTTGTAATCATCTTTGAATCTTAAACTATACAAATAATAATATGTTTAATATGAATCAAATAAATATTATCATAATTATTTATAGGTATTATATATTATATCATAAATCCTCTGATTAGGTTTTAATTGATTATTTTTAATTTTAAGGATTCAAAATAGTGCCAATTAGTTATTATAATGTATAGATCTGCCAAACAATAAATAATATTTCAATACAAATCTATCTTCTATTCCAATAAAAATATTGGTAATTTCATTTATATTCAATGAAAATCGAAATTATTTTTAGATACATTGAATTAATTTAGTTTAAATTACAAATATTTCTTGGAAATGCACAATAAATCTGTTTAAAGATCATCTTTATAAAGAAGATTTGATTATGACTTAATATCAAATCTCAAAAATTCATAATTATTGTAAGATAAATTAAAACATCATCATATCTTGAAGATTTAGGATTAATTTACATTTTCTATTAGTTTAATAAAGAAGATACTTGAGTCACAAAAAATTTGTAGTAAGATAAAACTGATATTAATTAATAATTACAACTAATTTAATTCCTTCGATGCTTTAGATGATTAAAAAAGAATCCTTATAAATTTATTTATATTTGAAGATTAAAATAGAGAATTTATTTATATTGTTTGTTGCTATATCTTTACAACAACTTTCAAATTACTACAAAGATTATTTTATATGTAAATTAAGAATAGTGCTTCATATATTTTATTGAGAAACGATCTTTAGAAGTCTAACAAAAGGGAGATAATTATTCATATAAATAATTTAAAATTTTGATATCTATTTTATTGCATATTTATATAGTTCATTAATAAATTCTTAATGAACCTTTATCTGCTACTTTAAGCTTATTTGATGACTCATTTTATTCTTTGATTGCTTTGACAATTATCTACCTTAATATTACATTTTTGCTTAATAATTCATTTACTATCCTATCACTATTTACTTCCAAATAATTTAAAATAATCAATGCATCTTCAGATCCTGCTGCCCAGTAAATATTATCTCTGAATTATTTATCTTCTTCTTGCAACAATTAATCTGCAAACTTCCTAAAACTTGATTTTGGTTTATCAAACAAATTATTTGATTAATTTTTACTTAATTCTAGAACTACATTTTAAAATATTATTTAGTTTTTTTAATCTTTTAGTAAATTGATGCTCTTTATAAGATTCTAATCCAAAATCGAGAGCAGCATTAATTATGTTAAAAGCATTCCCAATAATAGGTAATCCTCCTAAAATCTATGAGTTTTATTTAAAATCTTTTGAAAAACATTTAAAGTTTATAAGGATTTACTTTCGATTGTTGCATTTTTATTAATTTAAAATAGATTAGTGGAAATTTATTACATTGCCTATAAATAATTAAGTAATCTCCAAGTTAAAGCATTAAAATACATCAATTAATTTTTATTCAATTGTTTAAGAGATTCAGAAACCCTAAAGTTATCTTATTATAAAAGTGAATTGACATTAATTTCAAGGGTAGCCATTCGAATTTAAAGCTGCTCAATTATTTTAAAAATATTATTGTTAAATATTTATTGATTTTTATTTAATTAAGTATCTATTGGCTTTATATCTTATAATAATTAATTTACAACTATCTATGTTTATTCTTTTAATTAATTAGTCTTTTATATTGGAAAACCTTTAGATAAATATTCTAGTTAAAGATCTGTAGTTTACATCTAAATTTGAATTTATCTAAGTAGCTTAAGTTCTTTCTTAATATATGTAATATAAGAATTAGTTAAATTCCATTAAAATGTTTATGTATTAGCCTAATTTAATAATTTTTGAGCTCTTGTTAAATATATTTTTGCTTAATCAAATTATTTGCTTTTAAAATAAGGATTCCTAAGTTAGTAAGACAAAGTGGCTAATCTGGTTGTAAAACGAGAGCTTTGTTGTAGTCTTGGATGGCTTTTTCTTTTTCTCCTTGTTAATAAAATAAATTTCCTAATTATATTACTTGATTTTTTACCTCTATTGATAAATACTTCAGCATCATTTGGATTCAATCTGATTGCCATGTTGTAGTCTAAGAGTGCTTTTTCTTTTTGACCTTGTTCTGAAAATAGAATTGCTAATTATTTTGCTTGATTATGTACCTCTGTTGTAATATACTTCAGCATCGTTTGGATTCAATTTGATGGCCGTGTTGTAGTCTAAGAGTGCTTTTTCTTTTTGCCCTTGTTCTGAAAATAGAATTGCTAATTATACTATTAAAGTATATACCATGTTCGAAATTCTTAGGCTTTCTATTACTATATGGCATTATTTATAAAGCATTTTCTATTACTATTTTTATATATATCAAAATATCCACCCCCTTAATGAAAGAAGAAATTTTAATTTATTAAAATGGTCGTTATTTTTATTTATTCTATATTGGTTGTTATTTACCCTTATTAATTTTATTATTGAAATTTGAGTTAAGATTAATTTTACATTATCCTCTAATGTAAACTTACAAGTCCTCTTAACGATTTATTTTTAATTACAAAGTATTAACTTATTTTACCTATACAACTATTAAATTAAATTCGCTCTTTACTTATAATCTATAATAACTTAAATATCTGTATAAATTATTTGAAAATAGGAAATTATTATCCATTTAATTATTAAAATTTATAGAAAAAGAAAATGCTATTTCTTCAACAATTATTATATTAAAAGTCAAGGATTAATTGTAAATTTAATAATTATTTTTGTAAAAAATAAAATAAATCTTGACTCTCAAAATCAGATGATAATGAAGAAGTTATTATAATAGTGGAGATATTACATTTTCTCTTCCACTAGTGATAGGAGGAGGAATTGCTATGGGGGTTGTAGTTATAATGTTTTCTGAGTGATAAAATAAACCTGACCTACAAACTTTTTATTGTATATAAGATCTCTTTATCTTTGTGTGATTGGAGGACCAATTTGTCTTATTTATATTTTTGTTGGTCACCACTACTAAGAATTGCTGTAGATTTTTTCCAAAAAAAAATTATTGTGTCTAATGTATAGAATATGTAGGCTTAAATTATGCATTTTTTTTGGATTCGAGAATATCAATTAATTAAAAAGTGTTTGAGTTTAGTGGATGGTTTTATACAATTCACAAACACAAGTACATCCAGTAGGTAGATAATTTAAAAATATATTATTTATCTCAATAAGTATTTATTTTAATTAATGATTTGGTTTATCATTTTCAATCTTGTTATTTTCCAATATCAATAATTATTTAAACAATAAAACTCAATCCAAAATTTTAGTATTTCATTTAATCAGCATTAAACATGCTTAATAGAGAAACTAAGTTAAAAAATTCAAAGGATTACTCTATTTCATCATATGTTTTTCTATAAATGATTAATAATCATAAAAATGTAATTGCTATTCTATATGGAACATTAGCTACTCTCTTTTATCTTTACCTATTTTATAAGAAAGAAAAAGACTAATTGATAGTATATCATCCGATAAATCTTCTACACTTATATTTGTATGCTTTTTAAGGGAAAAGTATTTTCTCACTTCATACTAACAGAAAACATCTATTCAAATTTTTTCAAGGCTAAATAAGATCAATCCATATTATTGTTACTAAAAAGAAGTAATCCAATTCATTCTGCAAAAATATTATTGAATAATAATATCCTAAGAAGCTAAATAAAAAAAGAAATTTTTGGTGATTTGATGAAAAATAAAAAATGTAAAAGACCTTAGTAGGAATAGAAGTTAATATACTAGAAAATAATGAAATAGCTTAAGCAATTCAATATTAATTAATATTGTGATTAAGAATAGTCTAATATTATGTTGATATTTATAATGATTCTCTGAGTAAGTTAATTTCGACTACCCTCAGTAAATATTTAATAGAAAGAATGAAAAAAAATGATTTAAGAATTATTTTCAAGATGAAAATAATCAATATTCTCTCGAAGTTAACATTAGATATATTAAGAAATTTATTTATTGCGGTTATTGTTTGAATACATCAAATTTATGAAAAATAAATGAAATATTAACAAGCAAATATACTCTAAAATTTTCTAATAAAGGTAAATGTTGAAAATTATTTCTTGAGTTTATTATAATATTATTTTCAATTATCTAAAAAATTTTAGTAGATAGTTGCTGATGGAGTTCAACTTTATTTATTTCATTAATATATTGAAGAATATTTTAAAGTTAAACATAGTTAACAAGTTATTCTATATTTAACATTTATTTTGATAAAGAAGCATAAAAAGAAAATACAGATAAAATTGCATTCATAATATATTTTTTAAATATTCAAATTTTAATGACAACATCTGTCCCTTATTGTTCCAATTTTTTAATTAGATCTCTCTATTAATCTCTTGTAAAGCGCAACAAACACTAAGACATATCTATTTAAATTTCAGTTGTTTATTCATTGAGAGTTTCTAATTTTTCCCTCAATTCATCGTTATTAAATTCACAATTTATTAATATCATTTTAAATGAAAGAGATTTTTAAAATTGTATTCTTAAAAATCTAATTTGATATTTTCAAATGTAATATCAAGAGTTTCCAATTACTTACTTCTTAAATTATTAGAAAATTAAAAAATCTAAATAGTTCCTTTATTAATAATTGATGCCTTGAAAAGTTTCAAATAATTGAATTTTGCAAATAATTATTCACAATTATTAAGAATAAGATTACCAGAAACTTCAAAATAAAATTCCTCAAAATTATATCTATCTAACTTCAAAAAATTCTCATTTATATTTAAATTTATCTCGATTTCTACCTAAGCATCATTATTTCTTTATTATTGAATTATTTAGAAATATGAGTATGAAAAAGCTATAAGAGTTTTCTTTCTTTTAACGCAAAATTCCATTTAATGTTCATTTGTAGCTTCTACTTAGAGTTGCAAAAACTTTAATTCTTTTGGGCTATTTTAATAATTACATTAATATGAGGAATATGGATTGGATTTACTTCATCTAAATAATAATTCAATTTTAATTAATAGATTTGACTCACTTTTAAACAACTTATTAAATCATCTAATTCGCTTCCCATACAAAACAATCTTTATGCCTAATCAATTTCTAAAATACTTTTTATAATAAGAAGTCCTTTTTGAAAATAAGCTAACATCTTCATTTTTTTTAAACCATAGTACTGAGAGTAATTTAATGTTTTCAAATTAATTTTGCAATTGTGTACTTGGGAATGATATAACTCTACTTTTGAAATAATTGAAAAAGATTTAGGATGTTCCAATATTATTTACTTTGATATTGTATTTAAATAAAACATAGATGAGTAAAATTAATCGACTGAAACTTTGCTCAAAATTAATGCTGGAATCAAATAATCTAAAATAATAACTTCTAATAAATCTATTAATCTCTCAATAGTGTCTAAAAGTAGTTTGATGAAAGCAATAGCCCAAACTGCATCAAGATGGTCATATTATAATGATAAAATATATAGAAAGATCTAAGCTATTTTATTGTAAACATCTTCAGTATTTATTCTCCACATTATAGCTTCAAATTATGGTGAAATTTTTAAGTCATCTTTTATTTAAAATTAGTCTTCAAAATTAAATATTTAATTAGCTACATTCCCTTTAAGTTTTGAGGCATAATATTTGAATTTATTACATGTTTAAGAACCAAAATATCTATTAACTCCAGCAAAATGTTTCAAATCTTTTTTTAAAACTGATTCAAACACTTCCCATACTTATGTGATGGCACTTACAGTAAAAATTAAAACAAGACTCAATTATGTTTAAATTGAAAAAGCTTTAAATACAACCTGTTAAAATATTGTAAATGACAAAATCTAATAGACAACATTCATAATAGCTAAGACTAATATTGCCTTTGTAAAAGTATTATCATAAACACTGACATAGACAAAAGATAAAATTTATAGTAGAAAGTCCCAAGCAGTTTTTATATAGTTTTAATAACAATACAATTTTTTCCATTAATAATGATAAAACCTGTACAATTTATATAGACAGTAATTATCGCCAACTGATTCTAGAAAAAAATCAGTTTTATCATAAGCATTTATTGTGTCATTTGCTGAATTAAAAATTTTGTTTAAGTCACTTTGCCTTCGTTTTTTGAAGTTGGAAATCAGCTCTTAAAATTCTTTAGAAATTGTTATATACTCATTTATAATAAATTAAGATTTTTGTGCTTCTTACCAACCTACAGTTATTTTTGGATTTCCAATAAATTGTATTTCTTATTTATTGTTCTATTCTTCATAAGCATCTTTAACCAACCATAAATAATCAAAATATTGTAAGGCTTAAGGGTAAAATTTTAGATTTGGGATACTTTTAAAAATATCCTTCAAAAGTACTAAACTATTTTCTTCATGATATAAAAGACATATTTTGTCTACATTAATGAATTTAAAACAATTAGCTAAATACTGCAAAGTATCTTATTCATATTTATCAATAAAATGAAATTAAATGTTTTAATATTGCTTTTACTTTAATAAGAAACCTATTATTTAAATCATAGATCTTTTCTTTTGATAAGGGCTGAATTTACTTAGATTAATATGAAAATAACATGATTTAACAAATGCTAAATATTTAAAATTAGATTATATTAATTATTTTGTTTCTTAAATGAATTTTAATTCGATATCTTTTAATGTAAATGTATAATTTATATCTGTTTGCAATTAACTATTAGATTTGGAATATAAGATGAATTAAAATTCAAAAAAGAAATTAATAAAATTAATTCCTAATAATCCATAACAAAAAATATTAAATCCATCCCATGATCCTTTTAATTAATTAAATAAGCCTTATATAACTAGTTAAGGAATTGTTTAAAAAGTAATCATTATCATCATAGAGAGGAGAGCAACTCGATGGAATATGAGATCCCTAAAGATATTGACAGGTTTTTTTCTATCTTTAAAAAGCCTACATGGATTTCTTTTTTTATCTTCATAATTCAATATTTAGTATTTATTAATTTAACTGAATGAGAATTGTTTAATTGATTAATCTCTGTTGTAATAAATAATAAATGGAGCTAATTTAAAATAACTTAATATTCCAAAAAGCATATAATAAATATAATTAGTAATTTCAACAAATATACTATTTTAAGCAACTTTTTTGAAATGATAAGTATACATCCAAACTCCACTATGAATTGAAACACATAAAATTATTGATAAATTATAACAGATTTCATAGTATACAGTTTCATCAGTAATGTTATTATATGAGCTATAAATTAATGTAAAGATAAGTTCTAGAACACTAGAAAGGTATAAAAAGGCTTGAAATCCTATTTTAGCATAATATTTCAATATGCTTAAGCATCCTTTAACTTCTATTAAACGAGTTTCTATTATTTCTTAGAAGTCACTCTTGTAATTTATTTAGGTATAGGGTTTTTTATCTAAATGAGAATCAGAAAAAAGACCAAAGCATCTAAAAAGTCGTTTGCACATTTTTTATGTCAATAACAATAAATAATATCATTTTATAAAATCATTTCTTCTATTTCAAAATGAATATTAATCATCCATCTGAAAATTGTTATAATAATCTCACTTTAATAATGATCTAAAAGTCTTGTGTTTTTTTCAAGTAAATTTAAATCAATTTGAAATATGCAGTCTTCTAATAAAATTTTAATTAAATGGATAAATAAAAAAAAATTAAATTAATTTGAAATAGTATTAGTATGCTATCATTTTTTTTTGATAATAAAAAAAACAATTAACTACTACTCAATTAAATACAATTATATCAATAATTTTATTTCTAAAATATATAATGATTAATAATTATAATTTAAGTTTTTATACTACTTTAACTCATATCAATTAAATTTAGAAGATGTCAGCATAATATTGATTATCAATATTAATAGAACGATGTTTATCAAGCGGTTGAGCATCCTAAGAAATTGCCTTTAGTTAGAACTTTAATTGCATACTGTTATCCTTATCCAGATTTACTTTATTTTCTGTTCTTCAACTACAATTAAAATTCTTATACTCAACTATCGAATTTATTTTAGAGTATTTGTAAAATCTACATCTCTAAATGATCCTTTAACTATTTTAAATAGAATAATCATACAGAAGAAAACATGAACCGAATATTTCATATTTAGTTCAGAATATTATTTAATGTTTAATTGCCTCTGAAAGATTAGTTATAAAAAATTAGTTTTAGTGTTGTATGTTGGATAACGTATTAAATTTGTTGATAATATTTAAATTTATATTTAGTGAGTTAAATTTCTAATTACTCTTTTGAATCATCATAATTTATACTTATAACATTAGTTAAATGATTCCTTTTCTCATTATAAATACATTTAATAAGTATAACTTTACAATATTTTTCAAAACGATTTTAATGTCTTATTATTTTGTATTAATTGAAAATAAATTCTTTATCCGAATTCTTTAAAATCAATTGAAATGATGATCTTGCCAACATTAAAATACCATTTTTGACTATTTTTCTGTATCATAGCTCAAATTTATATAGAGTAGAAAAGAAAAACACCAAATTAAAGTTTAATTGATAGGTAATTGTAAAGTTGAATTCTGTCGCTTTTAGGAAGTAAGTGTGATTGATCAAAATTGTCATTTAGACAGCTATAATAAATTGAAGTAATAACTATTTATTTTATATGATAGACCATCCTTAATTTAACATCTGGTTTCTAAGAATCTTCAATAACATTTTTTAAAATATATGTATAATTTGAAACATTTCTATTCATTTTGATTAAATGGGGCTATATTTTAAGAAAATGTGAGATATCCTATGAATTATATTGTTAATGATACTTTCGTTCTGGGATTACTCCAAGCTAAAAAAATACTAAAGTATCCATTTTTTTAGTATATACTTATTTAGTAAAATAATTTAATCAATAATCCTATTATTGTTAAAGAAATGTTGTTCATTTCATAAAAATCTAATTTAGTACTTTTCATTACTTATTTTACTTTATGTATTAAATTAATTTTCAATAATCCACATTCTCGTTACCATTTGTAATTAATTATCTTGAAACATTTAGACATTCATGTATTCATAACTGTTTAAACAAGATGGAATAAAGGTGTAAATAGCTTAAGAAAATTTAATTCTAAACAGATTGGATTTTCATTTGTAAAGAAAAAATAAGAACCTCAATAGTCATTCTCTTAAACAATTTAACTCTCATAAAATATTTTCTATTTCTACCAAAAAGTCATTGATGTAATCATTATGTTTCAACCAAAATAATAACTCTTTAAATCTTTTTGATCATGTATTCAATATAACATTCTGATACTTACTTTGGTCTAATTATTGAAACAATTAACAAGAAAGGCTATATTTTGAGTGTTTTTCCACAAAATTTTTAGATAAGCACTCTTTTTTAGGCATTTGCCCTGACTTAAAAGAATTTATTTAGTAAGTTTATTTCATTGTTTAATCAACAATACTTAAGCTTGTCGAGGTCATTTAATTTTTTCAATTAAAATATGATATTAAAATTTCTTAACAAAATTTACAAAAATGATATGTGTCATAATTCAATTACCTTTTATTTTTGTTTTTATAAACTCTTTTTGCATGGTTTATAGAATTCAAATTATAAGATATTCATTAAATAAAATGAGTTATAATTATATAATAGTCAAATCAAATAGTACTAAGGAAGTTCTGATGGATCCATGAAGTAAATACAAATTATGAAGATAAAACTGAGATTATTTTGGTAAAAATTTGAAATTCTATTTATTAAAATATACTCTTAAAGTAGATTTGGCATGGATTGTTATAAATAACCCAATAATATATAAAATTGTATTAGATGTTGATAAAATATCATTAGATTTAATTTTCTAAGTTTTAAACTTAATCTTAAATGTAAGGATGAACTAATTATCAATAAAAATGATTTCTTTCTTTCTTTTATTAATTTCTTATTACCATCATTCAAAACACAATCAATCTTTTTATGTTTGTATTCTTTATACATTTTTCAGATATTAACCTACAAAATGACTATCTATTCACTCCAATTGATTTCATCCATAAAAATAATACAAAGAAAAAGGAAAAAATAGGTATAATCCTAGTACAAATTTTAGTATAAATGTTAAAAATCTAAATTACTACTGAATTTTAGGAACAAAGAAGATAAGACTAAGAGATAACTTCTCTATAAATAAAGCATTAACCAATATTTTGGATAATTGGTTTGGTTTTTTTTTGAAGTTCTATTCAATATATGCAATTTATCTATGGTTCAATATTTTTACCTGGTTATATAATAATAATAAAGAATTTTATTGTTTGTTTTGGTTTGCTATTATCATTTTTAAGCTCCAATTTATGGAAAATTGTGTTTGCCAGTTAAAATATTGATATAAAATGGTTGAATCTAATTTTACTATTTCATTTAAAAAGAATTGGAAAATCAAATCTATTTTTTTTATAACTAATTAATATAATATAAATTTTTTTCTAATTTTGAATAACATATAGATATATATCTATTATGTCACTCTAAATATAATAGATCAAAAATAATTAATTTTTTTAGGATATATTATAATTAAACTTTTCGAAATGAAAATTCATTAACTAATTTAAATTAAATTAAATTAAACAATAACTATTTAATTTAAAACCTTTATAGTATTTGAAGAGTTATTATTATTATTTATCTTATTAAATGATCTACTTTAATCCTTGTAAGAGATTTTCAATTTACATAAGGAGTTTTTATCTTATTTGTGATTCATAAACATTATTAATTAAATTATAAATATTTCCATTTTAATGAGTTTTTTTTCTAGGGATTAATATGGAAAGCAATAGAGAGATACCTGTTGATTTATAAAATACTATTAATTTAAAGAATGGTACAATTATAATCCTTCAAAACATAAAATACTAATTTTAGAAATGCCCATGATTGATTGCTTATATAGTATATCCAAAAAATAAGTCAAGAAAACTAAATATCTTTTTGTTTCTCTTGACTTATATTATTAGCATCATTACTTGCATTTAAACCTTTTTCTTATATGGTTAATCAGCTATCTTTTTTTATCATCCAATATAAATTTAGTTCATTCTGGAGTAAGAAGGTTTTAATATCTATATATTGTGATAAGATTAAATATTATCACAATTAGAGATGTTCTTTCTGCTTAATATATATTTAATGCTGGAAATCTTAATGGCCAAAATTGAATAATGTTTGGTTATATTTTTAGATAAGAATAAACATTAATAAGTAACCATTAAGCAAATAATCGTTTTATTGTAGATTCGCTAAGATGAATTTAAGAAATAGTAAATACTTTATGTTAATCAAAACAATATTGTATGTCATAAACTTGTGATATATCTCAAAATATTTAATTTAATATCCTAATAAAATCGATTAATTTAATTAATTGAATATTAATTTACTTTTTTAATTAATTTCTATTTTCTAATTATATAAACTTTTATAGTGGATTAAATAAATAAGTTTAATTATCTTATATTTTTTTTCATATAATTTTCATCAGCTTTTTATATTTATTCTATCACATCGAATATAAGATTGGAGGCTAATTTTAATAAAAACATTCCTATATGTAACCATTTAAAAAGTAAAGTTAATTTATCATCCAAATATAGACCAGAAAGGATTCTATAAATTATAGTGCATAATTATTCATAATTTAATTTTAATTAACCTTTTTAATTATATTTTAAGAATACTCCTTATTTTGTTTTACATAAATAGTCACATATCTTCAAATTTATTAAGATTTTGGGAGCAAAAATTATATTAGGAGTTGAAACCAGAAAAAAGATTAAATTGATAGAAAATAATGAGCTCTATTAATTCAAACTCAAGACAAAACTAAGAAAACTGTTTATTTATATCCAAAAATAATTAATACGAATATTCAAAAATCAATCCAATATACCATAAAATGGCTTAAATTATTAGCTTTAAATTGAATAATAGTTTATCTTTTTAGGTTTTAAAAAAGATAGAAAAAAAATTTGAAGAAATTTTAATTATATATAAATTAAGTAAGTTGTGTCTTTTGAAAAATATATTGAAAAATTTAATGATGATTATATTCTATACTTGTAAATTAAGAAAAAAATAGAATTGCCATTTTTTTGTAAACATTAATATTCAATCTAGAATAATTTGATAAAATATTATTATTGTTTTATATCCATTATTTTTCATTATGGATTTTCAATCGATGCCTTGTGGACCATGTCTTCTTTCAAAGTACATGTATTCAAACATAATTGTAGCTGCTAGGAGTAGGGCCTTTTCTATTTTTGAGGCATTTTAAGGAAATACAACACTAAAATTATCAATCAATTCAGACTAAGATTATCTAAATTTCTTTTTCATAAAAGCAACAACCTAAATTCATTAATTTAATAATTACTTCTCCATTAGAAGTTTTAATATTAAAAGTTAATTCATCACATTAGCAACCAGGGGCATCTATGATATATTTCAATTGATCTTGGGAATCAAAAATATGACAACTTAATTTACAACAAACAAATGGATTAATAATATATCCTAAATTTTGATTATAACCTTTTTCTCGATAAAATATATCTAAACGAGGCCTTTCAAATAATAATAAATATTAGAACCTATTCAAACACCAAAAAGTACACCTATACTTTCTAACAAATTTAAAAACAATTTGATCAGAGCTGCTTTAAAATAAAATATCTTAATCTTTAAATCTACAATCATAAACAAGCATCTCAAAAGGCCGATAGTGTGGACTAAGTATATAAAATGAAGTACCTAAATGAAGCTCTTGCAAAATTTGAAGATAATTCTTTGCATTTGAATAATTCTTTTTGAGATAATTATTGCCATTAATCATTAATTGGGAACACTCTAAATACGTTCGGAGACTGGAATCCTAATAAAATATTTTAATTGTAGATCTTTACCAGTCATCACTAGTATAAATTCAAATCTCTACTAAATAGAGATTCCCTATAGAGTGCCCAATATATCTAAACATCTTTCTTCTCTTTGAAGTTATTGATAATTAGCCATTTAATAATTATTGTTTTAGCCCATGGTATCATTCGAATAAAGAGGAGACAACATTTAATAGACAACTTAGATGATTTTAATTATGTTTATCAAGAAAGATTTATACAAATTTTATCATCAAATTTAGCGTTCCATATATGATTAAAATATCATAAAATCTATGATTAGAAAATAATATCGAGATAAATTTTTTTGTATTTTATTATTCTTACTTCTAATCAGTGAATTAGAAAAATATATATTGATTGATACAAAATTTATATTTTTTTTATATCTCCAACTATTCTATATATTTTTTTGAATTATAGATTAAAATAAAATATTGTTAATTAAAATTTATTTTTGATGTTTATTCCAAAAAATTGTAGAATGGGATTTAGTAAATGAATTATGAATGTTGATTTTAAATATATGATATAAATAAATTGTAAATATTTTTCCTCAAATATTATTTTCTTTTTCTTATTATAATATATTTATTTGGATTTTTATATTCAAAAAACCAGTTTAGAAAAAAGCATCTTGTTCTTTACCTTTTTTTCCACCAAGATTTAACAAAGAAAATAAGAAAATTGTATTGTTTTTTCGGATAATAACAATAGTGATGAGAGTATGAAATAATAATTCCTTATAAAATTAGTATTAATTATCAAAAAAGGATTATATTTTTTATTAAAAACAAGCAACACTTCTGTATATTTAGTTGAGAAAATTACGTATATATGATTTAAAAGAAGTATAAGAAAGAAATGAGGAGCATTTTTTAAGCTTTTGATCTTTGGACCAGAAGCATTAATTAAACTCATTTTATTAATACAAATCATATAAATAATAAAATTTTACAATCATCAAAATTTATATGCATTTTGCTCATAATTTTAAAAGTAAAACAAGTAGAATACTGATCCTATTCATCAATTTATAATTGATTTAACTTTAACGTCTACTTTTCCAATTGCTAAGTCCAAAGAAAATTAAATTTTTTATTATCACTCAGAAATTTTTTTTAGTACTGGCGATCGAAATTATCAATATGAGATACTTATGAATCGTTTAAATATTTTTAGATAAATTAATAGCGATTAGGTCTAGATTAATTGTGGATATCCTCCTATTTATAATAATTTTGGTGATGGTTTGGAAAACAAAACATCGTCAAATACAATCAAATCAAGTAAAGATTTAAGCCTCAGAATGAGTTAGTCCAGGCAGATATATGATGTGTCAAATTAGGATCCCTCTTTGAATATCCTACGTGGAAATCTTTGGGGTTGTTAGTCTGAGAAATATAAGAGATTTAGACATTTCCAAAATTGTTTAAAAACTAAGAAGTGTTTAAAGGGCAGAGAAATCAATTGGATGAAGCACTAGAGCTTCCAGAAGGATAGTGATGAATTCCCTTTGTTAAGTTGGTGCTGAAATAAATCCTAACTGTTAAATTATTTCATTTAAACTCTTGGAGATGAGGAAGATTTAAAATTTTTCCCCTAATTGTTGAGACTACCTCTACTATATTAAAATGGAAAATTAATTTTGAAACTTTCTAATACTCAGCCACCATTATTAGAGGAAATAACAATTCAAAGATGAAGTAGAAATCAAATGAGTATTGTGAAATGGTAGGTCACTAGAAGAAATTAGCTTGGAACGAAGATGAAAAAAATGGATGACACAATAGCCAACAAAATATAGAATGGAAATATTGAATTTAGTCTTATGAATTCGATTATTTTCTGATCATAAACTTCTCTCTTCATCTATTCAGATTAGGATCTATTTTAAAGATCTGTTATAAATTCAAAGAAGATAAGTGAATACTTAAACAATGTTAGAAACATAACTGAAATTGTTTACTCTCCTAAATACAAGAAATTTGTAGTAATCCAGTTTTATTTTGGATTAAATTAATTAAAATCATAAAAAAAAGAAATTGTCAGATGTAAATCAGCTTCTAAATCCATTTTAAGGTATTATTAAACACTCTCGAAATTTCAGGCCCTTTAAGAAAGAAGATCCATTATGAATTTAATCAAAATGGAAGATGATTCCTTTAGTGTACTACTATAAGAAAGAATTTAGTTCTGCATTGAAGATTTGAATAAAATCTAACAGCGAAGATTTGTGCTTGGGTTTTAGTAGTTACCTGAGAAAATGTTAATATACATTTCTGAAGTTAGATGATAGGAAAGGTAACTATATTTTTGGATTTATCCAATGCATATTACTTGATAAATAGAGATGTTTTATTTGATGCTCTAAGATAGTAAGACAAGTACAAATGATGTTCTCTAATAGAAACTATTTATGCATTAGAATGCTTATACGAATAGCTTTACACAGAAATTCAATTTTAACTTAGGAGTGGATTAAGGCTCTCTGCTAGAGCCCTTTCTTTTTGATGTTTATTTCGATTTATTAGTTGATACACTTGATAGACTTATTTCATAAAATTATTTGAAATAGAATAAGAAAAAACTTAAAGGAATTCGGCACTGCAAAGACTTAAGGCTAATAGAATATTTGCTTATGCGAATGATATTGCAATTACAATGTTTGACTTATTTATCTGTTGGTTTATTAAATTTTTTTTAGAATGAGCTGAGAAGTTGGGTTTATGGTGAATATAAGATTTAGATGATGAGAATTTTGAAAAAGGTTAAGAACTTTATTATGGAGTTTTTATTTCACCTAATAACAATCTCACTAAACACAGGAGGCAGGTTAAGGTGAAAGTAACTTTTTTTTTTAATCAATTGAAAATTTAAATAGAATTTGCTTTATGTATGGGAAATATTCTTTAATTATGTAGCTCCTCTAATGAAGAATAGTTTCATTTTGGAAATAAAGAAATGAAAATAAGTTTACAAACCTTAATTCAACTGATTCTTAAATTGGCTAAGAATACTTCTTATGAAGCTATTGATAAAATATAGCAAGCCTTTGAATTCAGACTATGATGTAGACTATTCATGAATAGATGGCTAAATTTGTTAAGGAAAAAGCTGAAGTATTCGAGCTAAAATTGACGTAGTTTTTTTTTTGAATAGGAGAAGGTGAGACTCAAGGAGTCTTTGATTGTATATAGAAAATGTATTCTTTAAAGGAAATGACTTAAATTTAAATATATCTTCCAAATTATGATTATTTGGATAGAAACTAGTATAGCTGGGGTAAGTGCAAAGAATTTTTGGTTTAGTGCACATTTGATTAGATATAAGTTTATGTTCCTTTGTGTTAAAAGACTTCTAAACTCTGCATAAATTTGAAAAGACTAAGAAAACCATTAAATGTTTATAAAGAAGAATACCTCTGCTTGAAAATGTAAAATTTGAATTAGAGACTTAAATCTTTAGTTTCTGCTTGTGCAATATGAATGAAACTTAAAATTACTAAAATTTTAATTTATAGAAACAGAAAAACTCTGCAAAAAGGCAATAGATCATTAAATCGACCAAAAATACATAATCACAGTTCTGTTTAGATAAGGAGAAATAATTTTCATCAATTTTTATTTTTTAATAAATTTAACATTTTATTTTTCAAAGCAGTTGCAGGACTTAATTATTGGAAGAATGTCAATTACTTTATTATCAATTTTCAATTAAGATTAATTTTAGAAGCCATCTTGAAATTAATAAAAAATTTTTGTTTTAGTAATTCCTATTACTTTAATAATTTATTTTATCTAAAAGTAGGAATCAATGTTTATTTATGAATCTATTTCTTACTAACTACAACCTTGAATATATCAATCAAGAATTAATTAGTTAAATATTTCTTTGCTTTCTTCTCTCGCAACTAAAAAGTTGAGGCTTCTATTTCATTCAAAAGATCCAAAGCTTAGTTTTTATCTAAAATAAAATCAACCGTGAAAATTCTCCGAATTAAAAGATGAAATAGTTTTAAAGAATTTTGAGGCATAAGGTAATAATTTAACCAATCTTTTGATCTTTCAAATTCATTTTCTATCAGAAGAATCTTGTAATTTTTCTTAATTCCAATCAATATAATATTCATCATTTTATTATTAAATGTCTTCCTTTTTGTATCCATATAAGATTGGATACTAATTAAAAGTATTATCGAAACTCTATGCTATCTCCCTTTTAAATTCAAATATTTTTTATCAAGTTATTGTTACCTTAAACAAATAGGAATTTTTATGTATTCTTGAATGATATCCTTTTAATTATTATATCCACAAAAGTTCCATTATTATTATTTTCTGATTAACTATTTATTATCCTTATCAACAAGTAAAAATCCTTTTCCAAAATGTTTTTTATTTTTATATATGTAGTTATGGTATATTTATATTACTATAATTAATAGCCCTTCCATTATAATTTAATATTCCAGAGAATTAATGATTAAAAAAGACTTTTATCATTCTTCTAACTGCCACATCCTTTAAGATTTTTCCTAAAAAATTTCTTTTTGTAGATACATTTCCTTAGAGTAGAGGAGTTAAATAATTTCTTAAATTTTAAGATTCTATTGATTTTAAAGCTATTTCTTCTTATCCAGGTACATAATATATTCAAAAAATATGCATCATGCTTCTTTTCCTAAAAACTTGTTCTCAAATATTTTTTTGCCTAAGGGTATAGGACAGATGCTCTCTAATTTAAAATTAATAGCAATACTAAATCAAGGTTAATATATTCTATTAAATTGGACATGACTGAGTAACTTTGGGGCTGACATCAAACCTTTAGTTTCGAAAAATGGATCTAGGGAAATCATTTCTTCTATAATCTAGAAAAACATAAATATATTTTAAAACAATTTATGGGTGGAAAATTTTATAAATATCATTCTTCAAACAATAAAATGGATCCTTTTTTATCACAAGTCAAGTGCCTCTGTTTTCAATAAATAAATATTAGAAAACTATTGTTTAGAATATTTTTTATGAGAAATGCTGTTATTTATTATTTATATTCTTATGGTATCAGTTTTAAAGCAAGATAGCTTATGAAAAGTTTCCATTTATTTATTCGATTCAAAATTATTTTAACAAAATTAAGGTAAGTCATCACAAATTATGAGTCTAAAAATTATTAATGTTTGAAGTTTCATATAAGTTATTTAGATCAATTAATTATTTTTACATCTCAAAAATATCCAGTAAGACACTCCCGCAACATGAAATATCAAATCATACATATATTCAGTTATTTGAAGAAAATGTCTCCACATTTTTTAGAATATTTTGCATCCCCATCCATTATTACTTAAATTAGTTTTGAATGATAAAATTTTAGAGTAAAAATGAACATATGGAGTTGGTTGATTTTTCAATTTTTTTTAAGTATCTCCTCTAGTTATTTATGTAGAACAATTAACTAAGATAAAATGCAGGTATTATATTGTATTGTTAACTTTTATAAATGAATCATGGTTACGAAAATGTAAGCTAAATTGTATCAAAAAAAAAATTAAAATTTCAATAAAAAAAATATTTAAATCATAATATATTTTTGCCTTGAAACAATTTTTTTGTTTTGCAATTGGTTCGATCCTCTTTTATTCTATTTTATTTTGTTAATTTTTTCTTAACCAAATTTTAATGACAGATTAATTTTATGATGACGTATTAACATTTAATTAAAATATCAATTACATTTTCTATTAAAAAATATTCTTGTAATTTATAATGGACTTAAAACCAGAATAGATAGAGGAATAAAGAATAGAAGAATAATAAAAAGAATAACAACCATAAGAAAAACAATTAATAATAAAAAATCCTAAAGGCACCAGAGATTTCTTACCTTAATAAGTTTTGATTAGAAAACAAGCAATTAAGATAATAACTGATATATTTGAGTAACACGGAGCAGTTGAAATTGATACTCCTGTTTTTGAATTGAGAGAAATATTAATGGGAAAATATGGTGAAGTAGGAGGAAAATTAATATATGATCTTTAAGACTAAGGAGGTGAAATCCTATCTTTACGATATGATTTAACAGTACCTTTTGCTAGATACATAGCAACTCATGGATATAAGAGATTGAAAAGATATCATGTTGGAAAGGTGTATAGAAGAGAAAATCCATCAATTTCATATGGGAGATTCCGTGAATTCTTTTAGTGTGATTTTGATTTTGCTGGAGAGTATTAATTATATTATATTAGAAATGATCCTATGGTTGCTGATGCAGAATTAATAAGAATGGTTGATTAAATATTTACTAAGTTAGATTTAGGACCATTTCATATTAAAGTTTCTCATAGAAAGCTACTGGATGCTATGATTAATATTGCTGGAATTCCGAAAACTTAATTCAAGACAGTTTGCTCAAGTATTGATAAATTAAACAGATAATCATGGAAAGAAGTCAAATAAGAATTAATAGAGCAGAAGGGTGTAACTGAAGAATAAGCAGAAAAATTAAGTTAATTAGTTTAATTAAAAGGTGAACCTTACTAGATGATTTAATAACTTAAAGAATAGAAATTATTTGAATAATAAGGATAAGAAGCATTAGATGAAATGGAACTATTATTTAACTTATTGAAATAAATGAATGGATTAAAAAATGTGATCTTTGATCTTTCTTTAGCAAGAGGAGCTGATTATTATACTGGATTAATTTAAGAGACCGAATTATTAGGACGATAAGTAGGTCCAATATCTGGAGGGTATATCTATTTATTTTAATATTTAGAGGTCGTTATGATAATTTAGTTGGTACGTTTTAAAAAAATAGCATACCTTGTGTTGGTGCAGCCATTGGAATTGACAGAATCTTTCCAATAATAGAAGAAAAATTTAAGAATAGTGGTAAGGTTTTTCGTGAAAACCAATCAGATTTCATTGTTGCTACTATCCCATCTCATAACATTGATATGACTGCTGAAAAATTTAAAATCTATGATTTATTATGGTCAAATGGGATTAAGGCAGATGTTTGCTATAGATTGCATTGGAACTTGGGTAAACAATTAAGTTATGCAAATGAATAATAAATCCCATATGCAATTATTATTGGAGAGGATGAAGTTAAATAAGAAATTGTTTAGTTAAAGGATTTGATATCAAAAAAAGAAGAGATTGTTAATTTGAAAGATCTCATTAAGGTCATAAAATAAAAAGTAGAAAATTGAATTAATCAATTTACAATTTTTAAGGGACATTTAATTTTTTTAATTAAGTTCTAGTTTTTTCAAAATTAAATAGCAAAATCTTTACATAAATCAATTTATTTTAGATTGTTAATAATTTTCTTGAGAATCATTGTAACTGACTCTCAAAAAAATCACTTTACTCTGTTCTAAAAATACCAAATCTTTTTTGAGTTTTTGGATATTTTCTATAATTTTAATGTAAATACAACTAATTAAATCAATTTGCAACTTTCCACAAATCTAATGTTTTTTTGCATTTTAATAGATTCCTCATTCAAATAGTGTATATGAATACATAAATTTAAAATAAATTTAACATTTAAACCATATTATCAATTTACCTATTTACTATCCATCATCATAATCCACTTTATAGATAATTAAACCTTATATATTTATTTTTACTAAAGAATATTTAACATTCTTTAAAGTTTAAGAGTACAAAAAGCAGAATAATTTCATATAAATCAATCCAAATTCCTTATTTTCTACTAAATTTTTATCAACATCTCTTTCATCTACATATTATATAGTTCATGCATACTTTCATGTGATGCAATATTATCACTAATCAAACACTTGCTCAATATTTCCATTTAATCTTCCATTCTCCAAGTTTCTTTCTATGAAAATATTCACCAATTTTCTTTAATTTGTTTATTTATGGATTTTTACTTTACATTTCAATATTAGAAATATAATTCCTAAATTAGTTCTCTAATTCCTATAACTAGCAAGATTGAAAAGATGATTAAATGAGAATTATTCTTTTGATTAACTTTTGTTTGAAAATAAATCAAAATATTTGTAATTTACTTATTAATATATAATTGCCAAAATTTCATCGACAAACAGAATAATGCAATCTACAGTTATTAGAATCATAAAGTCATCCTTTATAAAATATAGATAAGAAGATTTATTGATAAAAGATCTAAATCGGATCACCCAAAGGGGCTTTATTCATAAAACACTCAATATTAAAATCCAAATGGAATCAAATTTGGAATCTTGATGAAAAATTTGAAGTATTTATTAAAGAGAACTCAGAAGATTTTATCTACAGGAACAGAAAGAAAATATCAAAAGAAATGCTAGAGATACTTTCAAAATGAAGAAAAAAATGGACTAATACTGTCTCTACTTAATTGAAGAATTAAAATAGCATTATCGGAAAAGCTAATTAGAAAATTATTATTTATAAATCTCCTAATATGTGATAAATAATATTTGTTGTTTTTATAATATATCAAAAAAAGTTAATTATTAAATAATCGTAGAAAAATACTATTTATATATTAACATTATAAGAATGTATAATTAAACTTTGACCTACCACATGATGTATCATTATTGAATTATTGCTTTTTCATTAACTTTTGTTATATGATTTTTACAATGGCTCTACATTGCTTATTATTAATCTTATATTTTCATAATCATGAATAATTTTAAATAAAACAATTATAATAACCTCCAAATTACTAGAAAATAAACAAACAATTTTAATTCATTTAAAAAATAAATTTTAATTAAGTAAATTCTTAGTATTTGATTATTGAAAAAGGCCATGTAAATACCAATTACATTTTAATTAATAAAGTAAATTTATATAAATATTAAAATAGGATATTTTTGAAATTTATTAAAACTTCAAACCTAAACTCTTCTTTAAGTAAGATTTAAGAAATAGATAATTTTATTAAGAGTTTTATTTAGAGATTGAAGAAAAAGAGCCACCATGGGTAATTGCTTCTAATCTCCAAATAATTTCAAAAGGGCTGATATTGATAATTGAAAAATCTTTAATCAAGGTTTCATTCTAGATTCTTCATTTCAACTTTTAAAAAGATAATTTACTTTTTATATGGAAGTAATGAAAGTTTTTATTGTTAAAATCTGCATGCTCTTGCCATAGGTTCTCATTTATTCTTGGTAATGTTTTTTCTCTTTTCAAAAATTCGATAATTACATACTTGGAACTATTTGTGGCCATTAGGATATATGGTAGATTAAATACCCTTCTAATTTTATTCTTTAGATTCATAAATTTAATTTAATTTAGGTTAAAATATTTTAGTGTTTTTTTTTGTGAGAATTTTAAATGAATAAAAAACTTTTGAATAGGCTTCTTAGCAACATAATAGTTGATAATACTAATATTGTACTTTGGTTGCTAATATTTATTTTAAGTTTTGTTTTTGATATAAATATCCATGATTTTTCGATTATACTTCTAATGTGATAATGATGATTCAGATTTCATATTAAATACTCAAATAGTATTACATCCTTATTATATATAGATTTGACAATCTTACTTCTATCAATATCAAGCAGAATAATGCTTTCTGATTAAGAAGCGTCGATATTTAATGATAAAGGGCTTAATCACATTTCATAATTTAAATATAATGCATATCAGAGTTTGGATGAAATCAAGCATTTTTGGTTTATATGGTAGGAGTTAGGGCTTTTTAAATATGGATTAAAAGGAATTCGTCTGTGACAGCTTTACATTTAAAAATAGAGCAAATTTAGAGAGAAAATAAAATTTAGAGAACTATTACTGATTCCCTATTTAGTAGGATATATAATAAGTTATTTTAGTGAGGTCGCATATCAAATGAATAACTCTCCATTTAGAACAAAAATTAGATGAAGTTTATACTAAATTGATAATTAAATATAAAAGATAATAATTCTCTGATTGCCTATTGAATTTAAAAAAGAAAATGGGATTAGTGGTGATCGTTTATGTTCTAAACATCATCAATTTGCTTGATTAATTAAATAAAATTTGGAACATTTATTTATTAATTTTTATGAATATCAAGAAAATTTGGAAAAATTTATAAGATTTTATTTAAAATATAGGTTTTATTTGTTTCCTTTTATTAGAAAGTTATTTAGTGATTCATATAATCCACTTTGAAATTGAATTCACTAAAATAATTAGAAATACGGCTAAGTATTCTTAAGTAGAATTATTTTAAAAAATAGGGTGATGATTGTAAATTCGAACTATTATTTCTAAAAATAATTGAGGGAATCATGATTTTTGTTACTTTTTAAGGAATCTGGAGAAGAGAAAAAATGCACTTAATTAAATTTTCTTGTTTAGGTGCTATGTAATGTTTCGTGGCCTTATTTCTCTACTTATTTTATTTCAATTTTCTCATGATTGCAATAACAATTAATATTTAAGAACAAGCATATTTGTTGCTCTATCCTGCTTTTTAGGATTACTTAAGAACCTAATAATTTATATTAAGACTAAATTTAAGAAATTTTTTTATTGCTTTTATAAGAGTATCAACTATATACTACAGATGATGATTCTTTAAAAATGAGTAGGAAGTTTGAAAAAATTAAACTACAATTCTGTGATACGTAATATAAGAAAATAATATTAGAATTGTTTAGTAGATGGAAAATAAGAAATGAAGTCAAAAAAATTAAATCTTAGAAATATAGATTTGAGATTAATACTTAAAATTTGCTTTATAACAATTTTTAAATATTTATTCAGTTCAATGTTATATGTTTCTTCCAATAATAAATTCAAAGAAAATAATAACTAAGACATAGTTTACAATTTAAAAATTCATGCTACATTTTTCAGCTTTAACAATCTACTTAAATACTTTGTATTTTTCTTTGGAAAAAACTTTCTGGTATTTTCGTTGTAAAGTGAGCTTAATACTTTTACTACATAACTGAAAACTGTTAGCTATTCATTCTAGTCTAATATATGCCTGATCACCAAGCCAAAGTGCATTTCTTAAGGATTATTTATAGATCTTACTATTAATTAAACAAAATATTTTTTCCATATATCTAACCAATTTTAGACCTTTACCAAATAGTTTATAAATTTAATACTATTATGAATAATATATCTTATTATTTCACATTACATAAATAAGTCATTATTCACTTTATTATAATTTGAAAGATATTTTTACAAAATAACCTATATAGTAGTTTAAACTGATTCTAGAGCAAAAAAGTCATGATTTAAAAACAGTTAACAAAATAAACAAAAATTTTTTGTTATATTTTAATTCCAAAACTATAATACAATTACGCAAAGTCAAGAAGAAATATTAAATTTTTTAATATATTGCTATGCACACTGAAGATTAAGAAAATAATTTGATAAATTATATTCAAATGAATGATATGGATGTACATAATTAGAGATACTCATTAAGATAGATTTGATTTATTGCATTTAATATAATTGTTATGAATTTTAGATGTTTAGAAATCCAGCTTTAGTTAGATGATTGACTTTAATAATACTAATAAAATATTAAAAATAATATTTTATCAATAGAAATATCTTAGCTTATTATACAAAAATTTTTTATTTTTATCATTTGATACTAAAATTCGTACTTTAAACCTGAAAAGTTTTTAAATAATTTTTATTATAATGATTATTATTATAAAATAATGAAATAACTTAAGCAACTCAATATTAATTAATTATGTGATTAAGTATAGACTAATATTAAGTTGATATTTATAATGATTCTCTAAGTAAGTTAATTTCAACTGCCCTCAGTTAACATTTTATTTGAAAGAATGAAAAAAATGATTTAAGAATTATTTTCAAGATGAAAATAATCAATATTCTCTCTAAGTTAACATTTTATAAATTAAGAAATTTATTTTATTGCTGTTTTTGTTCGAATTCATCCAATTTATTAAAAATAAATGAAATATTAACAAGCAACTATTCCTAGAAATTTTCTAATAAAGGTAAATGTTGAAAATTATTTCTATGAGTTTATTATTATAGTATTTCAATTATCTAGTTCAACTTTATTTATTTTATTAATATATTAAAGAATTTTATTAAGTTGAACATAGTTAACAAGTTATTCTATATTTTAACATTGATTTTGATAAAGAAGTATAAAAAGAAAATACAGATACAATTGCATTCATAATATATATTTAAATATTCAAATTTTAATGACAACAGCTGTCCCTTATTATTCTAATTTTTTAATTAGATCTCTCTATTAATCTCTTGTAAAGCTCAACAAACATTAAGACATATCTATATAAATTTCAGTTGTTTATTCATTGAGAGTTTCTAATTTTTCCCTCAATTCATCGTTATTAAATTCACAATTTATTAAAATCATTTTTATTCTAAGCAGATTTTTAAAATTATATTCTTAAAAATCTAATTTGATATTTTCAAATGTAATATCAAGAGTTTCCAATTACTGACTTCTTAAATTATTAGAAAATTAAAAAATCTAAATAGTCCCTTTATTAATAATAGTTGTCTTGAAAAGTTTCAAATTAGTGAATTTTGCAAATAATTATTCACAATTATTAAGAATAAGATTACCAGAAACTTCAAAATAAAATTCCTCAAAATTATATCTATCTAACTTTAAAAAATTCTCATTTATATTTAAATTTATCTCGATTTCTACCTAAGCATCATTATTTCTATACTATTGTATTATTTAGAAATATGAGTATGAGAAAGCAATTAGAGTTTTCTTTCTTTTAACGCAAAATTCCATTTAATGTTCATTTGTAGCTTCTACTTAGAGTTGCAAAAACTTTAATTCTTTTGGGCTATTTTTAATAATTAAATTAATATGAGGAATATGGATTGGATTTACTTCATCTAAATAATAATTCAATTTTAATTGATAGATTTGACTCACTTTTAAACAACTTATTAAATCATCTAATTCGCTTCCCATACAAAACAATCTTTATGCCTAATCAATTTCTAAAATACTTTTTATAATAAGAAGTCCTTTTTGAAAATAAGCTAACATCTTCATTTTTTTTAAACCATAGTACTGTGAGTAATTTAATGTTTTCAAATTAATTTTGCAATTGTGTACTTGGGAATGATATAACTCTACTTTTGAAATAATTGAAAAAGATTTAGGATGTTCCAATATTATTTACTTTGATATTGTATTTAAATAAAACATAGATGAGTAAAATTAATCGACTGAAACTTTGCTCAAAATTAAAGCTGGAATCAAATAATCTAAAATAATAACTTCTAAAAAATCTATTAATCTCTCAATAGTGTCTAACAGTAGTCTGATGAAAGCAAAGGCCCAAAGTGAATCAAGATGGTCATATTATAATGATAAAATATATAGAAAGATCTAAGCTATTTTATTGTAAACATCTTCAGTATTTATTCTCCACATTATAGCTTCAAATTATGGTGAAATTTTTAAGTCATCTTTTATTTAAAATTAGTCTTCAAAATTAAATATTTAATTAGCTACATTCCCTTTAAGTTTTGAAGCATAATACTTGAACTTATTACATGTTTAAGAACCAAAATATCTATTAACTCCAGCAAAATGTTTCAAATCTTTTTTTAAAATTCTTTCAAACACTTCCCATGTTTATACACAGGCACTTAAAGTAAAAATTAAAACAAGACTCAATTATGTTTAAATTGAAAAAGCTTTAAATACCTGCTGTTAAAATATTGTATATGACAAAATCTAATAGATAGCATTCATAATAGCTAATAATAATATTGCCTTTGTAAAAGTATTATCATAAACACTGACATAGACAAAAGATAAAACGTATAGTATAAAGTCCCAAGCAGTTGTTATATAGTTTTAATAACAATACAATTTTTTCCATTTATAATGGTAAAACCTGTACAATTTATATAGACAGTAATTATCGCCAACTGATTCTAGAAAAAAATCAGTTTTATCATAAGCATTTATTTTATCATTTGCTTAATTAAAAATTTTGTTTAAGTCACTTTGCCTTCGTTTTTTGAAGTTGGAAATCAGCTCTTAAAATTCTTTAGAAATTGTTATATACTCATTTTTAATAAATTAAGATTTTTATTCTTCTTACCAACCTACAGTTATTTTTGGATTTCCAATAAATTGTATTTCTTATTTATTGTTCTATTCTTCATAAGCATCTTTAACCAACCATAAATAATCAAAATATTGTAAGGCTTAAGGGTAAAATTTTAGATTTGGGATANGAAAATAAGCTAACATCTTCATTTTTTTTAAACCATAGTACTGTGAGTAATTTAATGTTTTCAAATTAATTTTGCAATTGTGTACTTGGGAATGATATAACTCTACTTTTGAAATAATTGAAAAAGATTTAGGATGTTCCAATATTATTTACTTTGATATTGTATTTAAATAAAACATAGATGAGTAAAATTAATCGACTGAAACTTTGCTCAAAATTAAAGCTGGAATCAAATAATCTAAAATAATAACTTCTAAAAAATCTATTAATCTCTCAATAGTGTCTAACAGTAGTCTGATGAAAGCAAAGGCCCAAAGTGAATCAAGATGGTCATATTATAATGATAAAATATATAGAAAGATCTAAGCTATTTTATTGTAAACATCTTCAGTATTTATTCTCCACATTATAGCTTCAAATTATGGTGAAATTTTTAAGTCATCTTTTATTTAAAATTAGTCTTCAAAATTAAATATTTAATTAGCTACATTCCCTTTAAGTTTTGAAGCATAATACTTGAACTTATTACATGTTTAAGAACCAAAATATCTATTAACTCCAGCAAAATGTTTCAAATCTTTTTTTAAAATTCTTTCAAACACTTCCCATGTTTATACACAGGCACTTAAAGTAAAAATTAAAACATGACTCAATTATGTTTAAATTGAAAAAGCTTTAAATACCTGCTGTTAAAATATTGTATATGACAAAATCTAATAGATAGCATTCATAATAGCCAAGAATAATATTGCCTTTGTAAAAGTATTATCATAAACACTGACATAGACAAAAGATAAAACGTATAGTATAAAGTCCCAAGCAGTTTTTATATAGTTTTAATAACAATACAATTTTTTCCATTAATAATGGTAAAACCTGTACAATTTATATAGACAGTAATTATCCCCAACTGATTCTAGAAAAAAATCAGTTTTATCATAAGCATTTATTTTATCATTTGCTTAATTAAAAATTTTGTTTAAGTCACTTTGCCTTCGTTTTTTGAAGTTGGAAATCAGCTCTTAAAATTCTTTAGAAATTGTTATATACTCATTTTTAATAAATTAAGATTTTTATTCTTCTTACCAACCTACAGTTATTTTTGGATTTCCAATAAATTGTATTTCTTATTTATTGTTCTATTCTTCATAAGCATCTTTAACCAACCATAAATAATCAAAATATTGTAAGGCTTAAGGGTAAAATTTTAGATTTGGGATACTTTTAAAAATACCCTTCAAAAGTATTAAATTTTTTTCTTCATGATATAAAAGACATATTTTGTCTACATTAATGAATTTAAAACAATTAGCTAAATACTGCAAAGTATCTTATTCATATTTATCAATAAAATGAAATTAAATGTTTTAATATTGCTTTTACTTTAACAAGAAACCTATTATTTAAAACATAGATCTTTTCTTTTGATAAGGGCTGAATTTACTTGGATTAATATGAAAATAACATGATTTAACAAATGCCAAATATTTAAAATTAGATTATATTAATTATTTTGTTTCTTAAATGAATTTTAATTCGATATCTTCTAATGTAAATGTATAATTTATATTTGTTTGCAATTAACTATTAGATGTGGAGTATAAGATAAATTAAAATTCAAAAAAGAAATTAATAAAATTAATTCCTAATAATCCATAACAAATAATATTAAATCCATCCCATGATCCTTTTAATTAATTAAATAAGCCTTATATAACTAGTTAAGGAATTGTTTAAAAAGTAATCATTATTATCATAGAGAGGAGAGCAACTCTGTGGAATATGAAATCCCTAAAGATATTGATAGTTTTTTTTCTATCTTTAAAAAGCCTACATGGATTTCTTTATTTATCTTCATAACTCAATTTTTAGTATTTATTAATTTAACTGAATGAAAACTACTTAATAGATTAATCTCTGTTGTAATAAATAATAAATGGAGCTAATTTAAAATAACTTAATATTCCAAAAAGCATATAATATATATAATTAGTTATTTCAACAAATATACTATGTTCAACAGCTTTTTTGAAATGATAAGTATACATCCAAACTCCACTATGAATTGAAACACATAAAATTATTGATAAATTATAACAGATTTCATAGTATACAGTTTCATCAGTAATGTTATTATATGAGCAATAAATTAATGTAAAGATAAGTTCTAGAACACTAGAAAGGTATAAAAAGGCTTGAAATCCTATTTTAGCATAATATTTCAATATGCTTAAGCATCCTTTAACTTCTATTAAACGAGTTTCTATTATTTCTTAGAAGTCACTCTTGTAATTTATTTAGGTATAGGGTTTTTTATCTAAATGAGAATCAGAAAAAAGACCAAAGCATCTAAAAAGTCGTTGGCACATTTTTTATGTCAATAACAATAAATAATATCATTTTATAAAATCATTTCTTCTATTTCAAGATGAATTTTAATCATCCATCTGAAAATTGTTATAATTATCTCATTTTAATAAATGATCTAAAAGTCTTGTGTTTTTTTCTAGTAAATTTAAACTCAATTTGAAATGTGCAGTCTTCTAATAAAATTTTAATTAAATGGATAAATAAAAAAAAATTAAATTAATTTGAAATAGCATTAGTATGCTATAATTTTTTTTGATAATAACCAGCATAATAATAATTATCAATATTAATTGAAAGATTTTTATCAAACAGTTGAGCATCCGAAGAAATTGCCTTTAATTAGAACTTTAATTGCATACCTGTTATCCTTATCCAGATTTAATTATTTTCTGTTATTCAACTAGAATTTATTTTAAATTATTTTTAAAATCTACATCTCAAAATGATCCTTTAACTATTTATAATGGAATAATTATACAGAAGAATAGATGAACCGAATATTTCATATTTAGTTCAGAATAATATTTAATGTTTAATTGCATCTGAACGATTAGTTATAACAAATCAGTTTTAGTGTTGTATGTTGGATAAAGTATTGAATTTGTTGATAATATTTTAATTTATAGTTAGTGAGTTAAATTTCTAATTACTCTTTTGAATCATCATTATTTATACTTTATAAAATTAGTTAAATGATTCCTTTTCTCATTGTAAATAAATTAAATGAGTATAACTTTACAATATTTTTCAATACGAATTTTATGTTGTTATTATTTAATAATATTCGTTATCCGAATTCTTTAAAATTAATTGAAATGATGATCTTGCCCAAATTAGAATACAATTTTTGACTGTTTATCTGTATCATATCTAAAATTTATATAGAGTAGAAAAGAAAAACACCAAATTTAAGTTTAATTGATTAAATGTATTTGTCCTTAGGCATTTGTGAATTTGAATTCTGTCGGGGAAGTAAGTGTGATTGATCAAAATTGTCATTTAGACAACTATAATAAATTGAAGCAATAACTGTTTATTTTATATGATAGACCCTCCTTAATTTAATTTCTGGTTTCTAAGAATCTCCAATAACATTTTTTTAAACTTCCTTTATGTTTTTTTGTTTAGAAATGAGGAAGAGAAAATGATTGTTATCTCTTTTTTATTACCACTAACCTAGCTTATTTATGCTTTTATTTCTCAAATTTAAATATAATATGTATAATTTGAAACATTTCTATTCATTTAGATTAATTGGGCTATATTTTAAGAAAATGTGAGATACCTTATGAATTATATTGCTAATGATATTTTCGTTTTTCAAGCTAAACCAAATACTAAAGTATCCATTTTTAGGTATATACTTTTTTAGTAAAATTATTTGATCAAAAATCCTATTATTGTTAAAGAAATGTTGTTCACTTCATAAAAATCTAATTTAGTACTTTGCCATTTGTAATTAATTATCATGAAACATTTAGAAATTCATATATTCATAACTATTTAAACAAGATGGAATAAAGGGTTAAATAGCTTAAGAAAATTTAATTATAAACAGATTGGATTTTTCTTAGTAAAGAAAAATAAGAACCTCAATAACTATCTTTTTAAACAATTAAACTCTCATGTAAAATGTTCTATTTCTTCCAAAAAGTCATTGAAGTAATGATGATGTTTCAACTAAAATAGCAGTCATATATTTTAATAAGAATTCAAAAAGGATAATTATACAATAAAATCAATAAAGCTAAGATCTCTTGGATAAAATTTTTATATAAATATCTTAAAGTAATAAAATTCTATTTTTTCTAGAATCTTTTGACTCATTGAAAACAAAATAATTCTTTGACTACATCTAATTTTTTGGATTTACTCTTGACATAAATATTGCCCGAACTATTTATCATTAACTTAATTTAAGCTAGTATATCTATCTCTAGTGAAGAATGATAATCATTTGAAAATAAATTCTATTTTTACTTTTACCGCGTTTCCAAATTTATCATTACAATCATCATTAGCATAAAGATTATTCTAACCAACAATTATATCTTTAACAATTGAATTGACACAATTTTGCCTTGTACTATGATGCATGAAACTCCATTCATTAGGTGTTGCCATTAGTTTAGATCCAATCTTAATTTTCTCCATGTTTTGTAATATGGAACCCCAAATTCATGAGAACCTCTAGGAATATAATATTCATGTTGATGATCAGAAGGTTCCCTTCATTCCTTCTCTGTAAAATTACCCCAAATCATATAGNATTTGAATTCTGTCGGGGAAGTAAGTGTGATTGATCAAAATTGTCATTTAGACAACTATAATAAATTGAAGCAATAACTGTTTATTTTATATGATAGACCCTCCTTAATTTAATTTCTGGTTTCTAAGAATCTCCAATAACATTTTTTTAAACTTCCTTTATGTTTTTTTGTTTAGAAATGAGGAAGAGAAAATGATTGTTATCTCTTTTTTATTACCACTAACCTAGCTTATTTATGCTTTTATTTCTCAAATTTAAATATAATATGTATAATTTGAAACATTTCTATTCATTTAGATTAATTGGGCTATATTTTAAGAAAATGTGAGATACCTTATGAATTATATTGCTAATGATATTTTCGTTTTTCAAGCTAAACCAAATACTAAAGTATCCATTTTTAGGTATATACTTTTTTAGTAAAATTATTTGATCAAAAATCCTATTATTGTTAAAGAAATGTTGTTCACTTCATAAAAATCTAATTTAGTACTTTGCCATTTGTAATTAATTATCATGAAACATTTAGAAATTCATATATTCATAACTATTTAAACAAGATGGAATAAAGGGTTAAATAGCTTAAGAAAATTTAATTATAAACAGATTGGATTTTTCTTAGTAAAGAAAAATAAGAACCTCAATAACTATCTTTTTAAACAATTAAACTCTCATGTAAAATGTTCTATTTCTTCCAAAAAGTCATTGAAGTAATGATGATGTTTCAACTAAAATAGCAGTCATATATTTTAATAAGAATTCAAAAAGGATAATTATACAATAAAATCAATAAAGCTAAGATCTCTTGGATAAAATTTTTATATAAATATCTTAAAGTAATAAAATTCTATTTTTTCTAGAATCTTTTGACTCATTGAAAACAAAATAATTCTTTGACTACATCTAATTTTTTGGATTTACTCTTGACATAAATATTGCCCGAACTATTTATCATTAACTTAATTTAAGCTAGTATATCTATCTCTAGTGAAGAATGATAATCATTTGAAAATAAATTCTATTTTTACTTTTACCGCGTTTCCAAATTTATCATTACAATCATCATTAGCATAAAGATTATTCTAACCAACAATTATATCTTTAACAATTGAATTGACACAATTTTGCCTTGTACTATGATGCATGAAACTCCATTCATTAGGTGTTGCCATTAGTTTAGATCCAATCTTAATTTTCTCCATGTTTTGTAATATGGAACCCCAAATTCATGAGAACCTCTAGGAATATAATATTCATGTTGATGATCAGAAGGTTCCCTTCATTCCTTCTCTGTAAAATTACCCCAAATCATATAGTATCTTGGATTAAAATCATCAGAAGAAAGAATTATTCCAGAGCTTTTTGCAAATTATTCTCCAGCAATTCTATGTAATCTATTTTCCAGTTACAATATTTATATAAAAATTACTATGCAGCTATGATGTTTTATATTTATTATTAAATCTCATCATTGGTTCTACCCTAAATTAAAAAATTAATTTCAAAAATTTCCTTTATTACTCATAATATTTCAACTTAATCAATTAGAATTGATAATGAGCTTGATAATTTCTAGTCTTACATAAAATTTATCATAATCAAGTTATTTATTTCTAATCTTGAAAAAGATTAATCTTAACCAAAATTTATAAAATTAAATCCAATCCAAAAGAATATATTTTACTTGTTTTCAATAACTATATAATTAAATCTCATAATAAATATTCTTTTAAAACATAAAGCATCAATTCAGGATTTGAGGTTTCAATATTCTAAATTTAATGAGGAATTGATTTTGTTTTACTAAATCAATATAATTTTATGAATAATAATTACTAATATAGTTGTTTTTAGTATTTCTTTTTAATCCTTAGTAAGAATATTATTATAATCTATTTCATCAATTTCATTTTTTTAACAAACTTATTTATTAATCATAAAAAGCATAGCAATAAATGCTTATTATTTCTAATTTTATGTTATGATATATTCTAAGTCTTCCCTTTGAAAAAAAGAATAGGATTTTTTTTTTATATAAGTTTATAAATATTTTTAAGGGGAGAGAGTCTAAAATTCTGCACATTTTTAAGAAAGAGATCATCATTGATAAACTAATTTGATATTTTTTTCTTTATATTATCATACTAATATTTTTATCTTCTTTGACTCAATAGTGGTGAATCTTCCCAGGTCAAAAGGGATTCAGTCTTGGGTGCATCAAGCCCTAATGCGATTAGGGATATTACTATCAAACAAAGAGAAAAAAGAAATAGTTCGAAGGGCAAGGAATTGCCCCTGTATTCTAGATCTGGATTAATTATCTTATATTTTGTTCTCAAGTATCTCTTAGTTAAAGATGCTGGAAAGTTTGGAATGGAAAAGGCTTTCTGAAGTAAATTGTTGTAGTAAAAAATTAAAAGTTTTAATTAATTCTGATGATTGTAAAAATATATTTGTGTATGGTTTAATAATAATAACAATTTTTTTTAGTAATAATCACTTTTATTTTTATTCAATGAAGTCACTCCCTACTAAATTAATAATATTAGATAATCGAATTTCTATTTATGTAGTTTTAGTTATATCATCTTTCTTTTATTTAATCAATTCTTATACACCATTGATTATTTTATTATGGCATAATATATATTATGTTATTTACATTTTCTTAATGGCTATAGAAGCAATTCTTTAATATTATTTAGAATAGTAAAATATTAAGTAGTATACTTTATCGTTTTTATTTTAATTTACTATATATCAAATTTTATTCTCTTAAATTAATTTATTGTTTCATTCTTATAAAAATTATTAGAATTAATTTAATACTAATTCTTAATATCAATCTGAAGTTATTTATAGAAGATTTATCATTCATTTTTAACTTTATTTCAATTCGCAAATTAACATCATTTATTCTTTTTTATAAAGAGTTTTTATAATTGGAAACCAATTTTAGAAAATATGTTTTGTATCATAATTATTAATTTTTTGGAATTTATTGAATTAGTAAGGTAAATATTTCAATCATTAATTTAATACATTTAATAAAGATTTTATAGATGCTTAAGTAACGGTTAATAGCTATAAACTTTACCTATTGGAATATCATTTTATTAAATTGAAATATCATCTTCTCAGTCTTTAATTTTCATTTTGAATAATTGGTAATTAATAATCATTTTTAACTCACTACTTAAATATCATCAATTAAATTCATATGAATTTATGTTTAGTGATGTATGCTTTATCATCTGTATATAGAAAGATTTACAAGATATATTAAGAATTTTTTCATTTCAATTTCTTTATTATTAAAAATCTGTAAATAGTAAATAAAAAAGAGTTAAACGACTACCTTATGGTACTCCAATTTAGAAAGAATAGTTGATGTTTTTATAATTGATAAATTCGCTACTCATTAATAAAATGTAAAATTCTACCTCTTTTTAGGTTACAATTATTTTTATTGATATAATTTAATAAACTTTCTAATTTTCCTCATCAAATAAAATAATTTTATTCTTTTAAGAAATTATTTTAGCAAAAATCACTAGTTTTTGAAAATCTAAATTCTAACACATTTAAATAATCGGCTTTATATTTTCTAATTGGTCTAAACTAGTGTTTAAGAGGTATTAAAAATCAAAAGTATAAAATCAGATCATCAATTAGAATTTTATTGCTACTCATCTTTTACTTCGTCTAATTAAATTCTTTCTTTGATATGTTTATTTAATTTAGGTATTACTAAGGTTGATTTAACATTCTGGTATAATCTTATAAGAATTAGGTTTTTATTAGACTAATTCCATAGAAATATCTTTTAAGCTTCTAGTCAATTTCATTAAAATATTACGAATAAGGGCAGTATATTTTTATTTTATAACGTTCTAATTAAGAATAAACTACTTTTCATTTATTCTCTCTACATTTTATTATATGATATGAAATTTATTCGGATTATATAAGGCTTATAATTATTTAAGAATTTTTCCTATGCATCTTTTAGAATTTTCTAATTCCTATTTCTATTTGAGTCTCAAATCAAGACTAAGGTTTTCAGGTGCCAAGTAATCAGGTCCCCTTCAGGAGATACTTCTTATGCATTGGAAGGAAATTATTAATTCTCTTTCATACTCTACATTTGAGAACATTGGGTGCCTTTAATTCTCACAATCATCTAGGGTAATTATAAATGGAATCAAAAAATGCTGAGAAGTTTGGCCAAACTTAAATTGACTGCACAGGTAAAAAGTTTGCTAAAAATGTTTTAATTGCCTCTTAGTTTATTTTGTATTACATCCACATATAAAAAGATAAAAATAATCATAATTTATTTTCAATTTTTTCACATATTTATTTCTCCCATCTATATGAATTTATTTATACTTTTTATAGCCATAAATAGATAAATCTATTTCTTTCTAAATAAAATAATTATGTAGTCTTTTAAATTTACAGTTCATAATGGAAATATTTGATAATTAAAATATGAATATATGAAACTGTGTTATTTTTTATCATTTATTGCATATATTTAATCAAAAAATTAAGCATTTTTCTTTTTCCTGATTTGATCCATTTTGATTTTTACTTGAAGTACTTTCTGATTTTTAACCTTTAACTTAAAGGACTTTTTTTATCGCTTAGTCAAAGACCTCTTTTATACCTTCTTATGTTTATGATGAACATTCCAGATATTAACATTGCAATTAATCAATTTTAGATTTTGCCTAATAATTAATTAAATTTAATATACTGCTTCATATTAGACATGGCTTGGATTTGACAAATTTCTTTAATCTTTGTTATTTCCAACAAAAATTTTTGGTACATTTTTTAATTCAGGAACTTCTACATCTTAATACCATTTAGTGACTGCATTTTAGAAACTCTATTCATCAATAATAGAGAAGACTATCAAAAAGACATCAGCTTAACCGTAACTTAATATTCTTAGCCTATTATATGTTTCTTATCCAGCAGTATCCCATAAACTTAAATTAATCTTTTTTCCATCAACAACTGTTGTAATTGTGTAATTTTCAAAGACCTTAGGAATGAAATCTTGAGATATCTAATCTTTTATATAACTAGACTTGCTGAAGTAAATACCTCAAAAGTATGTCAACTTTTCCAACATTGGCATCACCAAGAACAATTAATTTAATTGAAATAGGATTTTTTTCTGACATTATACAAAAATTATTAATAATTAGTTCTAAATTGCATGGAAAGTTTAAGTAATTCAAAAATTAGCACTAAATTTAAGACAAAGAAAATAATTAATAAAATAATAATAAAGAATAGATACATATGAAATTCTTGAGTGAATCAATTTCAATTAAATTTTGATGATATTCCTTACTTGATTTATTAATCTATTGCAGTTTGAGTTTAGGTATAAGGCAATTAAGATTTTTATCATTAATGAGTTTATGATGGGGATATCTTAATTTATATACAGATTCATGATATCACAATAGCAAATATATCAAGGAGTTGAAACACTTGATTTCATCTAAATTAATATTGGAAATATTTATTTGATTTTACAAAATTGATATACAAAAAATATCTATGAAATGCACTAATTTAATTTGAAATCACTATTTCATTAGGATTTCTAATTGTAAAAAACAATTTTCTAAGAAAGACCTATTGGTCACAACAATAATTCATTTTTATAGAGAGAATCTTATTTAGTTTATAAAATGGAGTTATATATTGTTTTTAAGTATATTTTATATAAAAATTAACACAATACTTTATTTCTTCTAAACTACAAAATATAGTATTCTAAGAATCTAAAATATATTGATAAGTTATGATGTGTTCATATTGTATAATTATTTGAAATGAATTTCAAAGAAAAATCATGAAGATTTTTAAATTATCTACGTGTTAAACTCTTTATTATCTATTCCGCTATTCAGTAGGCTCTTATAACTAAAAATATTCACTTATGTAAAGGTATCTTATGAGTATTTTTGTTGAGATATTAAATTATTGAATATATTTTCAAACTATTAATATCATATTATTTACTATTTCAAACATCTACTATTTAAGCTCAATGAATTTACAATGCCCAATCAATATGTTCTTGTTTAAGAGTTATCAAAGTGAAATGGAGGATGATCTCTGTGATCTATTTGGTCTCTGGAGTAGATTTATGCAATTAAGTAATATCGTTCAAGTTAGAAATATTGAAATTCTGATACTTAATGAATAAGATTTGACTACAAAAAGAATCAAATTTTACACAAAAAATGTTCCTACAAAGAAGTAAAGTAATTTAATTGAGTCTAAATTAAAATTTTTATAAATCAAATAATTTTAACAATCTTCAAATTAATTAAATTATAAATATCAATTAATTTTAGAATAGTCCTAATTTTTTAAGAAAGGCCTTCAGATTCTCATGCATCTTGAAAAGAGATTGTCCAACATAAAATGATATAATATTTATACAAAATTAGATGGTAATATTATATTAATAAAAGAAAAGACTTAATTTCAATAAAATAAGAAATAATGTATTATGGATGTAATATTTTTACTCCCATCATAAAACTAAAAAATATGTTTTTAATTGTAAATAAAAAATTTTAATTCATTACAAAATAAATTTTCATGAAGTAAAATCTTAATATTTGATTATTCTAAAATTCCTAATAATAAACTAGTTGAAAAAGGCAATTTATATATCAATTACTATATATTTTATTAAATATATTTAGAGGTATATTTTTCAAATTATATTAAACTTAAAACTTAACCTCTTCTTTCAGTAAGATGAAAGAAATTGATATTTTTAAATAATTCGAAAATATCAATTTTATATTGAGATAGTAGAAGAAGAGCCATCATAGACAATTATTTCATAATCTCCAAATGATTCTAAAGATCTGATAATCGAAAATTGAAAGATATTCAATTAAGGTGTTATTTTAGTATGTATAAAAATAATTCTACATGTAAAAAAAAATCAGTATAAAATATAGAAATACTCTAAGTTGCTCTAGAAACAGAAATAAGTGCTTATTGAGTCTAAAAACTAAAAACATGATTTGTTATGCTAATTTTTATTCTAAACATCATTAATTTGCTCGATTAATTTAAGCAAAATTCTTTCAAAATTTATTTATTAATTATTATGTCTGAAGATAAATATTTTGAAAAATGCCTAGAATTCCTTCAAAAATAAGCTTATGTTGGTTGCTTGATAATTGAATATGTTTATTCGATTTATCTATTAAAGACCCATCACAATATAGCAAATATGAGTATCAGATATTTTCATTTATATTCGGTAGAATTATTTTTTAAAATAGGTTTATGTTTGTAAACAAGGACTCGATTTCTTAGAGAATGTTATGGGCCTCATGATGTCGTTTACTTTATATAAAATCATAAGAAGACAAAAAATGGGCATCGAGTCAATGTGCTGTTTATATCTATTGTTTACGATGTATTGGATATCTTTGATTCCTTTATTATTTAATTCTTTGTAGTTGGTAATAAAATGTAATATTGAAGTAAAAACAAGTTAAATGTCATTAAATCCTGGTTGAAATCATTAATGAAGGAGATAGAAAAATAGATGAAAAGTTAAGAAGTGATATTCAGAGCATGCTTTAGTATGAGTTATACCTATATATGACTAATGATGATGGAAAAAAGAGAGAGGATATAGAAATAGAGAGATAGTATATTGAAAAATATAAACTATAGTTATGTTTTGGGTAACATAAAGAAATAATATTAGAACCCCTAAAAATGATAAGACTCCTCCAGACTCTCTAGACTCTCCAGACTCTCCAGACTCTCCAGACTCTCTAGACTCTCTAGACTCTCTAGACTCTCCAGACTCTCTAGACTCTCCAGACTTAAGTAAAGAAGGTAAATTCTTAGAAACACAGAATTGAAATTAATACATAGCAATTTATTTTATAAAAGTTTCTTGAAATTTTATTTAAATGAATTATGTTGTAATTTAAAAAGCAAACTCAAATGAGTGTTCTATCTGAATAATTTAATAGTATATTTATTATCTTCTATGTAGTCACTTTTATTATTATTTTGATTTATCTACTTTCATTATATAAATTAAATCCAAATTTTGCATTTTTCTTTATTTATATAATTTCTGGTATTTTCGCTATAGAGAGCTTAAATATTTTTACTACTTGGCTGAAAACTGGTAGCTAAGCATACTAGTCTAATATTTGAATGATCACCAAGCTAAAGTGCATTATTTGAATATATCTAACTCTTAATTAAACAAATTATTTTTTCACATATCTAACCAACTTTAGACCTTTACCTAATAGTTTAACAATTTAATACTATTATTCATAATATATCTTATTATTTCTCATTACATAATTAAGTCATTATTCGCTTTATTATAATATTTGAAAGACATTCTCATAAAATAACGATAGTTTAAAACCAATTCTTGTGCTAAACAGGTATCAAAATAAACCTAAAAATTTAATTGTAATATATTATTTCCAGAACCTTAATACTCTTTTAAAAAGTCAACATTAATTTTTTTAATATATTGCCTTTGATAGAAGGTCTCATTATAACTATAAAGGAAAATACCACAGATTAAAAAAGTTATGATGAAAAAATTAAGCAACTAGTACATTAAGTCATCTTAAATTTTTTAGAATCTCTCTGTCCTTAATCTCTCCCTTATACTTTTTTATCGGGTTATATGAGAATGTGAATATTGTACAAGAAGAGTGAACACGCTGAAAATTAGGAAAATTATTTGATAAATTTATATATAAATGAATGATCATGGATTTAAAAAAAAATTTTAGGTAAGCATTAAACTAGATCCAATTCAATACATTTAAGATAATTTGTATGAATCTTAGAAAACTAGTTGTAATTTGATGATAGACTTAATAATACTAATAAAAGCATTATTAATAATTTATTATAACTAATTAACTACCTGATGTATTTAAAAATATTTTTTTAAATTTAATACTACATATGAAAAATGCTGAATTTTGAGTAAATTTTTTTGTAAATGAGGGCATCTGAGCCTATTATATTAAAATCTTGTATTTAAAATTACTTTAGACTAAATCTGTCCTATAAAGCTGAAAAAGTTTTAAATAATTTTTATTATTATTTTTATGAACACAATTGATATTTTAGAATATGGACTTAAGGCTTTAGGTATGGCTGTGTAAAAATCAAGAATGGATGTAAGGATGGGTGTTTCCATAATGATAAAAGTTATATTTTTTGCATTATGGTTTTTATAAAGTGGAGATAATAAATATGCAGGAGGGCACTTTGCTACAACATTGATAACATGGGTTGTTTTCCATGTGTATATTATTGTTATTGAACTATCCTATATCGTTTAAGGTGTAAATATAATAAAGTTGAGGAAGTAATCTTACAAAATTATAGATTCTGTATAATCAGGAATTCTAATAATTTATTTCAGTGTATAAGTTTACCAATATTCAGAATAATCAGCTTTTAATGTTATCACACTAATTTCATTATTTATTGATGTTGCACTAAATTTTGATTAATTCTTAAAATTTATAGAAAAAGAAAAAGCTATATCTTAAAAAATAATAATAGACAACTCAGATGATAATGAAGAAGTTATTGTAACAGGTGGAGAGATTACATTTTATATTTCAATAATGATAGGAGGAATATTTGCTATATTAATTGCATTAGTAATGTTAACTGAGTTAAGAAATAATAAAAATCTAGAAAGTTTTCCTTTTTATGTATGGTCTCTTTATCTTTGTTGGATCGGAGAAGGAGTTTTTGTTATTTTTGTTGCGTATTACTTACTCCCTAAGGCTAAAACACAGAGAATAGATCAAATTGACACTACTAAGGGTTGCTGTGGATGTACTCTAAGCAAACATTTCTTATGCCTAATGTATGGAATATGCATAGGACTTTTTAGCTTATATTATGCATTTTTTTTAGGAATCTATGGATTATTTAAAATCATATAAAAAGTGCTTGAGTGTTTTGAATGGTTTAAAAAAAATTCACGATCACAAGTACATCCAGAAAGTTGAAAATTGACAAATATATTTATATGATAAAAAATTATTTTAACTTATTATTTAGTTTATCATTTTGAATCTTTGTAAAACTCTATTTTGGTAATGTTGAATATCTCATTTTGTAAGCATGACAAATGTTTATAAGAGAATCTCATTAAAAAAAAAAAAATAAGTAAAAGATATCGAAGATTACTCTATTTCATCACATTATTTTCTATTTTCGATTAATAATCAAAAAAAATATCATATATAGAATCTTTTAGTTCTCTATTGAACATTAGCAACCCTATTTTATCTTATTTTTTTTAACAAGGAAGAAACAGGCTAATGTATAGGATACTTTTGATGAAAAAAATATAAAATGTGAATGTCCTTAGATGGAATAGAAATTATTAAGACATATTTAAAATTTTTATTAAGATAAATAATACTTATAGAATAGTGAAATAACTTACCCACCACAATATTATTTATAGTTAATGATTTAGAATAATCAACTATTATGTTCCTTAAACATGTTCATGTATGATTATAATTATAATGGTCTTTGAGTAAATTTGTTTATATCTTCATCCTAGTTTTCTATTATTTTATTCATCTAATAAGAAGAATTAAGAGTAATTATAGGAAAATTGAATTTCAATAATTTAGATTAATCAATAATCTCTATATTCTACAGAAACTAAGATAATTCATATATATAAAATAGTTATTGCAATACATTTTAGATAATAAAATACATTCAGTAAGAATTGGAATCAAAGTGAAATTGAATCAATTAAATCTCTATATAATTAATCATCATACTTACTCTCTTCATTAATGAAATCTATATTTAAAATTAAACTTTAAAATAAGTACTAAGATAAGAAGACAAACAAAAACTGAATGAGAAGAGAGCTATTTAACTCCATTTAAGATGCCAGCTAAAATAAATGAATTTAAAAGGAATATATGTGTGTTAATGTTAATATATATATATATATATAAATAACTTTAAAATATTGTAATATTTCTAATAGTAATATTGAATTATCCCAGATGTATCATAATATTGACTCCATTTATTATTTACAAATAGAGAGTAAATTTATTGAATAAACCTACTTATATTTATGCAAAGATAATATTGAAACATACTAAATTTAACGGTAGAACTTTTAAACCACTAATAATGAGTTCTGAATTAATTGTACTATATAATACAATTAATTAAGTTTTAATGCCCTTTAAATAATGACATTTAATTATTAAAAAAATACTTTATATCCTTATGTTTAAATTAAAAACTTTGATTTTCTATTGTAGTTCATAAACATTAGATCAATTTATAGCAAATGTATATAGCTTAATTATTTTTGTCAATTATTGGATATATTTCAGAATTAATTTCTCACGGTTGCTCACTATTTTAATTAAATCAATTTGAAGATATAAGAACTTTTCGTTTCTAAATCGTTAAAATTTGATAAATTAATTAATTTATTTTATTTGGACTATTTTTCAAATACTCTGAAATTTTCTAATAAAGGCAAATATTGAATTTTATTTTTATGAGTTTATTTTTATATTTAAGTGTGATATTAAATTTTCTTAAGCATCTAATCGCTATTTTTTTCTTTTATCTAATGAAAAATTTATTTAAAGTTAAACATAGTTTACTAGTTTTTCTATTTTTTCTTGTAGTATTAAAAGAAAATACATATAAAATTGTATTTATAGTATATATTTAAATATTCAAATTTTAATGACAACATCTGTCCCTTTCAATTCTAATTTTCTAATAAGGTCTCTCTATTCTTCTCTTGTAAAGCTTTACTAGCATTAAGATGTATCTATATAAATTTCCCTTTTATATTAATTTAGATTTTCTAATTGCTCCTTCAATTAATCTTTATTAAATTCACAATTTATTAATATCATTTTAAATAAACGGAGATTTTTAAAATTGTATTCTTAAAAATCTAATTTGATATTTTCAAATGTAATATCAAGAGTTTCCAATTACTTACATCTTAAATTATTAGAAAATTAAAAAATCTAAATAGTTCCTTTATTAATAATTGATGCCTTGAAAAGTTTCAAATACTTGAATTTTGCAAATAATTATTCACAATTATTAAGAATAAGATTACCAGAAACTTCAAAATAAAATTCCTCAAAATTATATCTATCTAATTTTAAAAAATTCTCATTTATATTTAAATTGATTTCTATTCCTACTTAAGCATCATTATTTCTATACTATTGTATTATTTAGAAATATGAGTATGAAAAAGCTATAAGAGTTTTCTTTCTTTTAACGCAAAATTCCATTTAATGTTCATTTGTAGCTTCTACTTAGAGTTGCAAAAACTTTAATTCTTTTGGGCTATTTTTAATAATTACATTAATATGAGGAATATGGATTGGATTTACTTCATCTAAATAATAATTCAATTTTAATTAATAGATTTGACTCACTTTTAAACAACTTATTAAATCATCTAATTCGCTTCCCATACAAAACAATTTTTGTGCCTAATCAATTTCTAAAATACTTTTTATAATAAGAAATCCTTTTCGAAAATAAGCTAACATCTTCATTTTTTTTAAACCATAGTACTGAGAGTAATTTAATGTTTTCAAATTAATTTTGCAATTGTGTACTTGGGAATGATATAGCTCTACTTTTGAAATAATTGAAAAAGATTTAGGATGTTCCAATATTATTTACTTTGATATTGTATTTAAATAAAACATAGATGAGTAAAATTAATCGACTGAAACTTTGCTCAAAATTAAAGCTGGAATCAAATAATCTAAAATAATAACTTCTAAAAAATCTATTAATCTCTCAATAGTGTCTAACAGTAGTCTGATGAAAGCAAAGGCCCAAAGTGAATCAAGATGGTCATATTATAATGATAAAATATATAGAAAGATCTAAGCTATTTTATTGTAAACATCTTCAGTATTTATTCTCCACATTATAGCTTCAAATTATGGTGAAATTTTTAAGTCATCTTTTATTTAAAATTAGTCTTCAAAATTAAATATTTAATTAGCTACATTCCCTTTAAGTTTTGAAGCATAATACTTGAACTTATTACATGTTTAAGAACCAAAATATCTATTAACTCCAGCAAAATGTTTCAAATCTTTTTTTAAAATTCTTTCAAACACTTCCCATGTTTATACACAGGCACTTAAAGTAAAAATTAAAACAAGACTCAATTATGTTTAAATTGAAAAAGCTTTAAATACCTGCTGTTAAAATATTGTATATGACAAAATCTAATAGATAGCATTCATAATAGCTAATACTAATATTGCCTTTGTAAAAGTATTATCATAAACACTGACATAGACAAAAGATAAAACGTATAGTATAAAGTCCCAAGCAGTTGTTATATAGTTTTAATAACAATACAATTTTTTCCATTTATAATGGTAAAACCTGTACAATTTATATAGACAGTAATTATCGCCAACTGATTCTAGAAAAAAATCAGTTTTATCATAAGCATTTATTTTATCATTTGCTTAATTAAAAATTTTGTTTAAGTCACTTTGCCTTCGTTTTTTGAAGTTGGAAATCAGCTCTTAAAATTCTTTAGAAATTGTTATATACTCATTTTTAATAAATTAAGATTTTTATTCTTCTTACCAACCTACAGTTATTTTTGGATTTCCAATAAATTGTATTTCTTATTTATTGTTCTATTCTTCATAAGCATCTTTAACCAACCATAAATAATCAAAATATTGTAAGGCTTAAGGGTAAAATTTTAGATTTGGGATACTTTTAAAAATACCCTTCAAAAGTATTAAACTATTTTCTTCATGATATAAAAGACATATTTTGTCTACATTAATGAATTTAAAACAATTAGCTAAATACTACAAAGTATCTTATTCATATTTATCAATAAAATGAAATTAAATATTTTAATATTGCTTNGAAAATAAGCTAACATCTTCATTTTTTTTAAACCATAGTACTGTGAGTAATTTAATGTTTTCAAATTAATTTTGCAATTGTGTACTTGGGAATGATATAACTCTACTTTTGAAATAATTGAAAAAGATTTAGGATGTTCCAATATTATTTACTTTGATATTGTATTTAAATAAAACATAGATGAGTAAAATTAATCGACTGAAACTTTGCTCAAAATTAAAGCTGGAATCAAATAATCTAAAATAATAACTTCTAAAAAATCTATTAATCTCTCAATAGTGTCTAACAGTAGTCTGATGAAAGCAAAGGCCCAAAGTGAATCAAGATGGTCATATTATAATGATAAAATATATAGAAAGATCTAAGCTATTTTATTGTAAACATCTTCAGTATTTATTCTCCACATTATAGCTTCAAATTATGGTGAAATTTTTAAGTCATCTTTTATTTAAAATTAGTCTTCAAAATTAAATATTTAATTAGCTACATTCCCTTTAAGTTTTGAAGCATAATACTTGAACTTATTACATGTTTAAGAACCAAAATATCTATTAACTCCAGCAAAATGTTTCAAATCTTTTTTTAAAATTCTTTCAAACACTTCCCATGTTTATACACAGGCACTTAAAGTAAAAATTAAAACAAGACTCAATTATGTTTAAATTGAAAAAGCTTTAAATACCTGCTGTTAAAATATTGTATATGACAAAATCTAATAGATAGCATTCATAATAGCTAATACTAATATTGCCTTTGTAAAAGTATTATCATAAACACTGACATAGACAAAAGATAAAACGTATAGTATAAAGTCCCAAGCAGTTGTTATATAGTTTTAATAACAATACAATTTTTTCCATTTATAATGGTAAAACCTGTACAATTTATATAGACAGTAATTATCGCCAACTGATTCTAGAAAAAAATCAGTTTTATCATAAGCATTTATTTTATCATTTGCTTAATTAAAAATTTTGTTTAAGTCACTTTGCCTTCGTTTTTTGAAGTTGGAAATCAGCTCTTAAAATTCTTTAGAAATTGTTATATACTCATTTTTAATAAATTAAGATTTTTATTCTTCTTACCAACCTACAGTTATTTTTGGATTTCCAATAAATTGTATTTCTTATTTATTGTTCTATTCTTCATAAGCATCTTTAACCAACCATAAATAATCAAAATATTGTAAGGCTTAAGGGTAAAATTTTAGATTTGGGATACTTTTAAAAATACCCTTCAAAAGTATTAAACTATTTTCTTCATGATATAAAAGACATATTTTGTCTACATTAATGAATTTAAAACAATTAGCTAAATACTACAAAGTATCTTATTCATATTTATCAATAAAATGAAATTAAATATTTTAATATTGCTTTTACTTTAATAAGAAACCTATTATTTAAAACATACATCTTTTCTTTTGATAAGGGCTGAATTTACTTGGATTAATATGAAAATAACATGATTTAACAAATGCCAAATATTTAAAATTAGATTATATTAATTATTTTGTTTCTTAAATGAATTTTAATTCGATATCTTNTAATTTTGCAATTGTGTACTTGGGAATGATATAACTCTACTTTTGAAATAATTGAAAAAGATTTAGGATGTTCCAATATTATTTACTTTGATATTGTATTTAAATAAAACATAGATGAGTAAAATTAATCGACTGAAACTTTGCTCAAAATTAAAGCTGGAATCAAATAATCTAAAATAATAACTTCTAAAAAATCTATTAATCTCTCAATAGTGTCTAACAGTAGTCTGATGAAAGCAAAGGCCCAAAGTGAATCAAGATGGTCATATTATAATGATAAAATATATAGAAAGATCTAAGCTATTTTATTGTAAACATCTTCAGTATTTATTCTCCACATTATAGCTTCAAATTATGGTGAAATTTTTAAGTCATCTTTTATTTAAAATTAGTCTTCAAAATTAAATATTTAATTAGCTACATTCCCTTTAAGTTTTGAAGCATAATACTTGAACTTATTACATGTTTAAGAACCAAAATATCTATTAACTCCAGCAAAATGTTTCAAATCTTTTTTTAAAATTCTTTCAAACACTTCCCATGTTTATACACAGGCACTTAAAGTAAAAATTAAAACAAGACTCAATTATGTTTAAATTGAAAAAGCTTTAAATACCTGCTGTTAAAATATTGTATATGACAAAATCTAATAGATAGCATTCATAATAGCTAATACTAATATTGCCTTTGTAAAAGTATTATCATAAACACTGACATAGACAAAAGATAAAACGTATAGTATAAAGTCCCAAGCAGTTGTTATATAGTTTTAATAACAATACAATTTTTTCCATTTATAATGGTAAAACCTGTACAATTTATATAGACAGTAATTATCGCCAACTGATTCTAGAAAAAAATCAGTTTTATCATAAGCATTTATTTTATCATTTGCTTAATTAAAAATTTTGTTTAAGTCACTTTGCCTTCGTTTTTTGAAGTTGGAAATCAGCTCTTAAAATTCTTTAGAAATTGTTATATACTCATTTTTAATAAATTAAGATTTTTATTCTTCTTACCAACCTACAGTTACTTTTGGATTTCCAATAAATTGTATTTCTTATTTATTGTTCTATTCTTCATAAGCATCTTTAACCAACCATAAATAATCAAAATATTGTAAGGCTTAAGGGTAAAATTTTAGATTTGGGATACTTTTAAAAATACCCTTCAAAAGTATTAAACTATTTTCTTCATGATATAAAAGACATATTTTGTCTACATTAATGAATTTAAAACAATTAGCTAAATACTACAAAGTATCTTATTCATATTTATCAATAAAATGAAATTAAATATTTTAATATTGCTTTTACTTTAATAAGAAACCTATTATTTAAAACATACATCTTTTCTTTTGATAAGGGCTGAATTTACTTGGATTAATATGAAAATAACATGATTTAACAAATGCCAAATATTTAAAATTAGATTATATTAATTATTTTGTTTCTTAAATGAATTTTAATTCGATATCTTTTAATGTAAATGTATAATTTATATCTGTTTGCAATTAACTATTAGATGTGGAGTATAAGATAAATTAAAGTTCAAAAAAGAAATTAATAAAATTAATTCCTAATAATCCATAACAAATAATATTAAATCCATCCCATGATCCTTTTAATTAATTAAATAAGCCTTATATAATTAGTTAAGGAATTGTTTAAAAAGTAATCATTATTATCATAGAGAGGAGAGCAACTCTGTGGAATATGATATCCCTAAAGATATTGACAGGTTTTTTTCTATCTTTAAAAAGCCTACATGGATTTCTTTATTTATCTTCATAATTCAATATTTAGTATTTATTAATTTAACTGAATGAAAACTACTTAATAGATTAATCTCTGTTGTAATAAATAATAAATGGAGCTAATTTACAATAGCTTAACAGTCCCATAAACATATAATATAAATAATTAGTAATTTCAACAGAAAAACTATGTTTATCAATTTCTTTGTAATAATAAGTATACATCCAAGCTAAAATATGAACTACAACGCTTGAAATTATAGATAAATTATAACAGAACTCAAAGTATGTAGTATCATCAGCAATATTATTATGTAATATGTAAATTAATGTAAAGATAAGTTCTAGAACACTTAAAAGATACAAAAAGATCTGAAATCCTATTTTAGCATAATATTTCAATATGCTTAAGCATCCTTTAACTTCTATTAAACGATTTTCTATTAATTCTTAGAAGTCACTCTTCAAATTGATCATTTCATGAGGTGACCAATCTAAATGAGGTTCAGAAATAAAACAACAGCATCTAAAAGGTCGTAGGCACATTTTTTTAATCCAATAACAAAAAATAATATCATTTTATAAAATCATTTCTTTTAAAATAGAACTAAATTTAATTCTACATCAGAAAATTGTTATAATTTTCTAATTTTAATGAATGATAATTAAACATCTTTTCAAATTTTTCTAAAAATTAAAAAATACAAACTTTATTATGAAAATAAGGTTGTAAAGTTAATTATTTTCTATAAACTCTCATGTGCTTATCGAAAATATATACTCTAATAAATTAGAAATCAAATGAAGTGTGAAATATTCTAATTAATTTAATTATATTAATATTATATCATTTTGATAATAATAAAAAAAAATGAATACACAAATTGAATAAAAATTTAAAGAGCCCAAGAAAATTAAATTCCATTAAATCTTCTTAAACATTCAATATATAATTATATTTTAATTTTCAAAATAAACTTTTTGATATTATGATTATTTTTAAACAGAATCTGATAATAGAAGTTATATATTAGAATTAAAATTCAAGAAAGATAAAATATCCAATAAAATTAAGATCTTGGATAAAATTACTTATACAAATATCTGAAATTACAACATAATATTAAATCTTAACAAGTTAGAATAAGCTTATTTACTTCTAGATATTAGTATAATGTTTTACACTTTTTTTTATATTTTACTTAACTTAAAAATCTTAATTAATTATATTTAAGCTTTTAGGAATAATATTTCATTTGAAAAATAAAAAAGAAAGATAATTATAAATCCCTTTTTTTTTTTCATGGAGTAAAATTCTATATGGTCTCACATCTTTTGACTCATTAACAACAAAATAATTCTTTAACTTCATTTTCTAACTTTATCTAATTTTTTTTGGATTTACTCTTGTCATAAATATTACCGCAAACTATTTATCCAGAACTTAAGTGTAACTTGCATATTTATCTCTAGTGCAAACATTAAAATCATTTGAAAAATAAATTCCATTTCCTACTTTTATCATGTTTCCAAATTCATCTTAACAATCGTCATTAGCATATAAATTATTCAAACCAGGCATTAAATTATTTTTAACAATAGAATTGACAAAATTTTGGATTGTACCATGATACATGATTCTCCATTCATTAGGGTTTCCATCCATTTATATCCAATCTTAATTTTCTCCATATTTTTTAATATCTAATCCAAATCCATAACAACCTCTTGGAAAATAATAATCATATCTGTGATCAGGAGGTCCTCTTTATTCTTTTTCTTTAAAATTACTCCACTTCATATTGTATTTTGGATTAAAATCATCAGAAGAAAGAATTATTCCAGAACTTTTTGCTAATTATTCTCCAGTATCTCTTGCGTAATCAAAGTATGTTAAATATTCTATTTTCCCATTACAATATTTATGTAAATATATCTATGCAGCTGGAATGTTTTATATTAATTATTAAATTTCATCATAAGTTTTTCCTTTAATTAAAAAATTAATTTCAAAACTTCCCTTTGATACTCCTAAAATTTCTATTTAATCAATTGGAATTTATAATGAGTTTGATAATTTTTACGTAAAATCTACCAAATGAAATTCTAATAACTTTTTGTCTTCCATAATTTTATCATAATCAAGTATTTCATTTCTAATCTTAAAGCAAGACTAATCTTAAGAAAAAATTCGTATAACTTAATCCAATCCAAATGATTTTATTTTATCTGATTTCAAAACCTCTATATTTAAATCTCTTAATAGTTATTCTTTTAAAACATAGAGCATCAATTCAGGATTTGAAGCTTCAATATTCTAATTTATATGAGGAATTGATTTTGGTTCAACAACCAATTATAATTTTCTAAATAGTTATTACTAACATAAATGTTTTTAGTATTATTTTTATCCTTAGTAAGATTACTATTCTAATCTATTTTATCAAGTTAATTTCCTAACAAACTTATTTATTCTTTAAATAAAGGTTTAGCAAGAATATTTTATAATTCCCAATTTTATGTTATGATAGGTTCTAAGCACTACTCTATTTTAGATGGGTTTTATTATTATTTCATTTTATAAAATTAATAATAAAATATTCAATTATTGATTTTCAAAGCCATTATAATAGAATTTCAATTATTTTTAATTAAAATGTTCTGATTAAATACTAATATTATTTATAGAATATTTATCAAAAATTATAAACACTTTAAAATGATAATTAATTGATTCTTGATATAAACACTAACTCGATTCTTTGTTAATCGCTAAAAAGCTTTAAGTCTAAGAATTTGAATCAGATTAACTTTAAATTTTAACCCATTCAACTTTGAAAATTATATATAACCCGATATTTATAAGTATTTGTTATATCAGCTGAACTAAGAATTTCTGAGGAGATGATGTTTGGCAGTTATCAATTTAATTTACAATAATTTTTAATAATTAATATCAATTTGAGATATTATCAATGATAAATCAATACGTCGGATTTTATTCATGAATAGAAGTAATATTAGCGAAAAAAGGATCGCGGATCTCTTTTCTTTTTCAATAAACCTGAACCGATCCTGAATATGATTTTAAGCGATTTTTTTAAGTACAAATAGTGTTTTTGATAGATCTTTTCATAGATTTCGTATTAAAAAATAATTTTTGGAGAGGATGCATATTAAAAGGTTTAAATTTCTATTTTTATAATGTATCAACTTTTTGAACCCATCACTTACATTAATATTTAGATACTTGATTTGGTTTTGTTGAATGAAAAATTTTCTTTATTTTATGAAAAAAAAGAATTAGTTAACAGTTCATTGCAATTAGAATTATACAAAATATAAATTTTTAATCTCCTAAAATGTTTTATCAACCTTAAATTTGGTCTTTGATTATGTTTAATCATCTAAACAATATCTAATTGATAGACTTGTTGAGTTCAATATGCTTTTTTTCTTTTATATAATGAAAAATTTATTTAAAGTTAAACATAGTTTACTAGTTTTTCTATTTTTCTTGTAGTATAGAAAGAAAATACATATAAAATTGTATTCATAAGATATATTTAAATATTCAAATTTTAATGAAAATATCTGTTCCTTTCTATTCTAATTTTCTAATAAGGTCTCTCTATTCTTCTCTTGTAAAGCTTTACAAACATAAAGTCATATATATATAAATTTCCCTTTTATATTAATTTAGATTTTCTAATTTTTCCCTTAATTGATTTTTTATTATATTCACAATTCCTTATTATAATTTTAATTTTCAAATGTAATATCAAGAGTTTCTAATAACTTTCTTCTTAAATTATTAGAAAATGAAAAAATCTATATAGTTGCTTTGTTAATAATCTTTGCCTTGGAAAATTTCAAATAACTAAATCTTGCAAAAAATTATTAACAATTAAGAATAAAATTACCAGAAATTTCAAAATAAAAATATTATTGAAATGAAGAGGGTATTTAGATAGAGAGATTTATGATTCATACACTTTCATACAAAAATTTCCTCTCATTCAATTAGTATTGATTATCATTATCAAATATAGTATAAAATTTCAACATTTAATTTTCTAAACAATTATATTCACTGCATATTCTGTTACCAAAACCTCAATTATTATTTAAAATTTATCACTATTGCCCATAAGAATAATAAAATTGTAGTTTCGATTTGCAACTATATTTTTATATTTTGAAATGAATCAAGCTAATATTGAATGATATGCCTAAGAAAAGCAAATATCCAAGAATGGTGAACTTATTATTTGATAAAATAAGGTAAATTTAAATTTAAAAGAATTATTTATATACTGATAAAAAGAAATACAGTCACATTAAAAAGATTCATGATAAATTAGTTAGTAATAACAGACATTTGAATTAAATATTTAAAATGTAAGAAGAAGATCTGACGGCACATTACTATATATATCAACATTTCTTTAGGAAAGAGGCTAAATTTATAAAGAAATTAGTAATGCTTTAGGATGAAATTGAAAAGATGAAAATTTTAAGTAACATTTTAGTTATGATTATATTTATAATGATCCTTTAAGTAAGTTAATTTAGGTTGCATTCAATAATTATTGAATTAGAAAGAATGAATAAAACTTAGTAAGAATTATTTTCAAGATGAATACAATCAATATTCTCTCTATTCTACAGTAACTAAGTTAATTCTTAAATATTGCAATACATATGAGATAATAAAATACATTCAATAAGAATTAATATATAAGTGAAAATGTTTAACTGAAATCGCTAAATAATTAATTATCATACTTATTCTCATTTTTAATAGATTATTATTAGAAACTGTATATTATTCCCAAATAAAAGATTTTGGTAAATTCAATTTATCATAAATGATAATAATAACATCAATGTGGCATTTAAATTGAGTAAAAATTAAGATGTTATGATACTTATATTGATGTATGATAAGTAAAAATATATTAAATCAAAGTTTCTTTATGATTTATCTTTTTAAATTAACTAAATTTTGTATTAACATGATTCTGGATATTTCATTTCTTTTATAATTTTATAATTTAACAATTATAAATTCTCCCAATTAATCAATGAATTATAATATTTAATTATTATGAGATTTAATTTATTTCAATAGAATTAATTGTTCCATTTCTTATTCGATATCATTGTCTAAATCAAATTTGTTTATCAATACTTTGATTACTTCATTATTAATTTAATTTAGATTGAATGTCAATTGAATCCTTTCATTTTCGAATTAACTTTTAATAAAAGCATAAACTAAATTAAAATATGGATTACTTTATTAATTTCCAATTGCTTAATAAAATTAAAAAGTATTGCGAATAAATTATAGAATTTCTTCTTCTATTTCTTCTGGATTTGATGATAGTAATTTACATAGATGTTATAATTTATTATATTGTAAAGAATCTTCTCTTCTAAAAGTAGTTAAGAGACTAGCATTTCGAAATTTATCAATTTAACTTTACAAAGATTCAATTTTGGACATGTATTATTTCTTAATATTTTAAAGATAATAATATACTTCTTAATGGGATGTATTCAAATGCTATAACAATTCATTTTCTTTAAGTTAATTAGTTAATGTAATTAATAATTGTTATTGACTAGTTAATTATTCCTCTTAATTTGCTATTATATCAGTACTTTCTAAATAAATGAATCAGATTTACATTACAATAGCTATTTGTAATGGAGGATGACTTTGCTATTAATTTCATCTTATTGTAGATATTGAGTCCTATCCTTTTTGAATTGAATAATAGATGAATATATGTGCAAAATTAGTGATTCATCATTATCATGATTGACTTCGAATATCTCATTGAGTTATTTACGAAAGGATTGTTATTATGATTACAATTAATTAATAAGTTCATCCTTCTATTTTATTTGATCATTGAGTTTTTTCGAATCATCATCTCTTAACTGAATAGATTGTCCTTCTGATTTAATTTAATTAGAGTGATAACTAATGGATCTAGTCTTTTGTTTGTTCTATCTCTTGATATTACTCATAATAGAATGAAGAGATACAACCTTGTTGGTTGGTTTGAATGGTTAGTTAAGCATTAAAATAATAAATTATTAATTCACTAATTATTCAATTCATAAATTTCAGATTACCAATTTTCTATATATTCCTAAAGAGTTTCAATAAAATCTTAACTAATATCATTTCTAGATATAAATAGATGGAAAGTCTCAACAATTTGATATTAAACCATTTTGTTTAAAATCAATAATTTGAATTGAATGGATAATAAATCAAATGCTTCAAATAAATTCATAATTAACCAAGTTTAAAAACAACCCTATAGTAATCTAAAGTATTAATTATAAATTTTTACATTTCTTTAATTTACTTAAATATATTGTATTCCTCTAAAATTTAAATGATATTTTTATCATTCAATTTTTAAAATATAATTAGATTTTTAAGTAAAATCAAATATTCATTTACAATTTCTTCTTAGTAATAAGTTATCCCTTCAAAGTAGAGATCAAGGAAGGGTAAGAAATGACTTATTACAACACTAGCTAAATGTTGATATTAATAGATTAGAATATTATTCAAACATTTGTATATTTTAATTATTAATTGTTCATCTGGTGAATTTTATAACCAAGATAACATATTATTCAATATACCATTTTCTAATAATTGTTTTTCTACATTCAAATTAGAAATTGGAGAATCTTCATCATATTATTTAGAAGTTAAATTTATGAATGTAGAATACATCACTAATGGAAATTTATTAATTAATAAAATCTTCACCCAAACAGGTTTTGTTAAAATTATTGTAGTCTCTAACTAATGTTTAGAACAGTAATTAATTAATATTAATGCTGCCTCATATAATTAGGTTTATTCTGATAGTTCTGTTATAACATAATCACATTATTGAAGGATTCTCTAAAACTAAATTAATATAACTTTTTTATTTCATACACTTAATGATACTATTTCAGTATCAGGAATGGATGGGTTAAAAAATATCATTTATTATAAAAATAACATTGAACTCCAAAGAATTTATGGTGGAAACTCTCTATAGACATAATGCCATATATTTAAGAAGGATGATTTCATTATTTCAATTTTGATTTAGACTCCTCTTTCATCTTTCAAATCTAGTAACAAATTAATTAAAAGTTAAGAGAGCTGCAAGTAAGTAATATTATTACACTTTCAATTATCAATTACCATTCATCATAATTCTATGCTAGTTTTTGTTTACTATTCATACGACCCAATAAATCATTAAAAATTATGTCCAAAAAATTATGGTTCAATAAATTATTAATAATTTATGGTGTATTCCCATATGTAAGATTGATTAATATAATAATGACTAGATTTAAACATTTCACTCTTATCTCTTCTATATTACTATCCAATTAAACATCAGACATTCGTAATATTTGCATGAATAATTGAGTGGCATCTTAATTTATGCTAAAATGATTTATATATTGATTCATCATAACCTCATCTCCCTATTATTATTTTACAATAATTAGTAATAATTGTTCATTGTACTTAAAAAGTAAACTTCTAAGAGTTTAAAAGTCTTTAACCATAAAACTTTTATAAATTTAAACAATCAATTCATCTGGTAAACACTTCAATTCTCCATTTAAATCACTACTCAAATTTGTGTGTCTCTTTCTTGAAAAGATCTCTTCTCTAGCCTATTTTCGAATCTATATAAAAAATTGTTCTCTCTTCAAATATAATTATGATGAATTAATCATTAAAATAAAAATGAATATATATAATAATAATTAAACTCATTTAGAAATTTGATTCATTTATACATATGTATATATATATATCATTCAATTTTAGTAACAATTTAATTTTCAAATTTTTGTGTTATTTTCAAGTATATTAGGATAAATGAATATCTACAAATTTTAATAGCTTATACTCTAAAGAAAATACATAGAATCTATGGATATAATCATGATATTTATTCATATTATGATTATATATCAATCATTTGATTGTAAAATTGAAATGAGTTTAAACACCTTTGTATATAAATATATACATTAATTTTAATTGAAAAATTTAATAGAATTATTTAATTTCTTTGAAAACAAATATGAATTCTTTATTTCATAACAATTATGTCATTCTAAATCTTCAAGATGATTAAGGAATGGAATATTATTTTGTTTCCTTTAAAAATTCACTAAAAAACCTTGATAATGAATAATAATTATATAATTAATTATGCGATCATTTATATCTAAAAATAGAGTAGTCTTCTTAACTTCAATAGGAGTAGTAGGTTTTTGGTAAATGTTTATTGAATATTTCATAGTGCATACTATATGAAAATGAGCTTTAAAGAGAAATATAATGTAGAGAAATTATTTAGAAAACATGATTAACATCAATATTTAGATAAATATGATAGATCTATAGATTAGAAATTAAAAACTAACAATGATATTAAAATTAGATATATTGGTGATCATTTTTTAGAGGCTAAATTATTAATTAAGATATATGGCAAATAATTAGATATTGCAGGAGATGCTTTTCGTTAATTGAGTAAGTTAAATTGGATTCTGAGAAGAAATTTGATGAGATAAAATTAATAATCATATGTTGATTGTATTGTCTAATTTATCATGGATGTTGAAAATATCTTAGATTAGGCATTAATAAGATCATTATATGAATTAGATGTACCAAAAGAGAAATTTGAAGAGAGTGTACTTGCGAGAATGGATCAAGAATATTTTTAACATTTATATATGTTCAAAACTAGTGTAAAGTAAAAGATCAAAGAGAAAATTAAATTAACTAAGAAAATAAGTTTAAGAAAAATGAAGGACATTATTCAATTTAGTGTACAGATGCTCAAGAATTTCCCTTAAGAATATCAAGATATTCTACATCAAATTATATAATAAAAAGATTATAGAAATAGATTTAAAAAAATTTGATGTTGATACCAACTCTTATCAACTTAATTATATAAGATAAGATTTATTCTTAATTTGGAGTTGAAGAAGAGGATTAGACAGCAAGTCTAAAGAATGTATAAGGTGATAAAGAAATTCAGAATCTTTTAAAAAGAGGTTAAATAGAAATGAGTAGATTATTAAAAAAAATAAAGAATTAAATTCCTAAGAATTTAGAAAATGTTTTTTGATTAATAAACTTTCATAATTTAGGTTATTCTAAAGCTGATTGTACAAATTTTTTAATTTACTTAAGTTATTCGAATGAAAAAATTGGAACTCTATGTGCTATTATATACATAATTCTTACTTGCATCAGTATAGATCATTAATGGATTCAAAAACTCACTTGATTATATTAATGATTCCATTTACAAAGGATCTCTTTATCCAACTGTTTGAATTGTTGGAATAGTAATTAACCTTTTTTAGGAAAAAATTTCTTTCTTAGCTTTTATACCATGACAAGAGAAAGCCATAAAAAATTTAAGTCTCTTTCTTAATTCTATATCAGTATGTGCTAATTATCCTAATTCTGTCACTAACAATGTTCCATGTGAAAATCCTACAACTCCCACAATTGTTGGATCATTAATTATTTTAGCTCTTAAATTGGTTACATCTTATGAATGATCAAGATGGATATCTCCCCATCTATAAAGTTTTTCTTATAAAATTATTAGTATCTTACTTCCTACTCCTTATGGAACTTATATATTAGATGGTAATTGAGTAATACTCTTATTAACATCATAAGAAGGATCCAAGTATTCAAATGTTATTATTGAAGCCAAAGATTTTTCTAATTAAGTCATTAAACTCTTCATTATATCAGCATCATTCAACCATCCAGGTAATGCTAAACATTTATATTACTACATATTAATCTATTTAATTGCGTATTATTTTAAATTTGTATTTTGATTTATAATACCAATAAAATTATGTTTAGAATTATTCATTTATTATTTTTAATAAAGAGATTAAGAATTCCCTTATATTTATTAAATAAATACAATAAAAAAGCAAAATGTAAAAATTATATAAATATAATCAAATTAACATTGAGTTCATTTTAGTTTTCCACATTTACATTCCTTAAATTTATTCTTTAGGATATTCTGCAGCAGAAACCATTTTTGGTTTCAATATTTTCAAAAATACTTTATTATTTTTAATTGGATGCATAATATTATCTTAATACTCTAGATTGTATACTCTTATAGTATCACTATGTTTTAATTTATTTGCATCATCTAAATCTATAGAAACTTCTTTATGATGTTTTTGGAAGTTCTCAGTATTCTTTTTAACAAGTAATGGTTTTGAACTTTAAACTTATCTTCTTTAATTAATTTCTTCCTTTATATTCTTCTTAACAAATTCTTTTCCAGTCAAAGTTATAGCAGAATTAGGTCTCATTCTTTTAATTTTATTAATAATCTCATTAGATTCATCTATCATAGAAGATTAGGGTCTTCCTTTCATGCGAGACAATTATTCTTCAAATTCTTATAATGTGAGAACCTTAGCTAATGGAGATTATTTATCATCCATTTTTATGCTGTCATTATATTTATCTGAATATTCTACTTTATCAATTTTACTAAGTATCATACTAGATTTGTTCTTGCCTATTTAAGATTATTATGGAGATCTCAATAATTTAATAGGTTCTTATACTGTTGCTGATTTGGAAGCTAAAAATTATAAAACCTATTTTGTAGTAGCTCTTCTTTTCTAATTCTTAATGAAAATAACTTTCAATAAAGCACTTACTAAAGGGAACTCTTAAAAATCACTTGGTGGTGGTTCTCTATATATAATATTATATGCAATCGATCTTTCATTCACTCCTGAAAAAGGCAACTCCAATTTCATTAAATAATATGCAATGCATCCTGCACTCCAAATACCAGAAGACTCAACCTCTTTCCTTAATACTTCAGGTGATGCAAATTAAAGCTATGCATTCACTATATTTAAAACATCTATCTTATAATAAATATTATAATTATACTTTCACCTATAATTATTCATCCAGAAACACATTATTCAATGATACTGTTATTGGTATTGATTGCTATTCTAAATAAAACATAGCCGATATGATTTAGTATAATATTGTAAGAATTGTATTTTCAGAAAACTTATTGTTTTGCATAATCTAATTTTATGAGTATTATTGATTACTTCTTATAAATCATTGATGGTATCACATTTTTAAACAGAACAAATTTATCCTCTTTCCTCCCAATACTCTTCTACAAGTAATAAATTTGGATGATTCAAATGGTAAAGTAAACGATTAAATTCGCTAGGAGGTTGTATAGTTAATATGTAAGTATCCTTTGTCTACTTATGATAACAAAAAGTCTTATTGTTAGATATTTTATGAGTTTTTTCTAATTAACATAATTACATAATTTATTTTATAATAAAAATAAATTCATATCTAAGTTTTCAGTTATTCAATACAATTCAAACTTAAAACGAATGTATTTTCATATAAATGATTTAAAAATATTAGATTAATTTATTTAAATATTAATTTATTTATCTATTTATTGTAAATCTTTCATAATGCTTTTAACTTGTAAATTTTTAATTTATATTATATTACAAATATTAACAAATAAAGTGTCAAGCATTTATAATTCATGATAAATGTGATGGAGGTTTCCAAATAGGAGGATATAGAAACTACTTTATCTCACTTACAATCTATATAGAAATTTATTTCTTACTTCATGATTCCACAATTTAGTATATTTAGCTGGACTTAATTTTAATTTATTCATCTTGATTGACCAAATATTCTACTCCTTCTTTGATAATAATACTTATTTATTTCTCCTACCTCTACATTAAACAGATCTATTTTGTTTTTTCTATTTCTACTCTCTATTTGATTTATTTGATTGATCAGTTCCTCTAGTATTAGGAGAATTAGACAAAGAATCAAATTTAAATTTATTATTCCCATTATTTTGATAATCTACACTACTACTGTATTGAGTGGGCATTTTCTTATTGAGAATCAATTTTGGAAGAAACTTCTTTTTACTTTCTGTTTGAATTGCAACACTGGAACTATTCTATCTTTATGAAGCATCTAAAGACTAAAATTAAAGTCCTTAATCAAGAAGACTAAGCAAATCAAATTATCTTTATAAAATGGGTAATTTTTAATGGAATTACACTTCATTATGACTAGTTTGATGAGAAGTATTTTAAATATTACCATGATTAGTGTCTGTTTTAGAAGCTAGAATTTCAGCTTAAAATTAATTCCCTATTTCATCTTAGTCTGGTTCATCAGCCAATTATGATCTAACCTCTTCATCTTCATGTATCTCTTTTATATTATGTTATTATGGAAATTAATTCAATGAAACTCTCACTTTGTCAATAGTTTATAATTAATTGCCTCTCCAATTACCCTTCAATATTAATGTATCATATTCATATATTCCTTCTCCCTCCATTAATCCATCCACCCAATAACCCTTGTAAGTAGCCTTGTCTTACCATGTAATCTCACCATATCCACATCTCTTGTCATCTACAAAATGCCCTTCATATTTAGTTCCATTAGCATATTCAAATACTCCTTATCCACTTTTTTTATCATTTGCATATTAACCTTTATATATATTTACACCTTCTTGTGTTTTACTCTCCCACATTCCATAACCATTTCTTTAACCATTGACAAATTCTCCTTTATAGAAATTACCATTATTCCAATAAAATTCCCCAGGACCATTAGGTTTCCCATTTCTATATTCTCCTACAAAATAATCTCCATTTTCAAAATACTCTTAACCATTACCATGTTTGAGATCATTAGTAACATAACCAGCATATCTAAAATTATTAGTCAGTTATACATGTCTCCATTAATATAGATACAAAGTCCAAAACATCTTCCATTTTCCCATTGCCCTAGATAATAATCGGAATGAGTCCCTTGATACCATCCAATTCCATGCTTTGATAATAGAGATTGTATAATACTTTCTTCCCTTAATGCCATTAACCAATATACTTCTAGTTTTTTGACCAGAACACTCCTTCTCCATGTGGTAACCCATTAAGGTAAGTACCATAGTAAAATTGATTTTATTTCAGCAATTCAAATCCTATTCCATCCTTCTTGTCTCTGAGAAAAGAACCTTCATACAGTTGTAATGTTGATTTTATTAAAATGCCTTGTCCTTGTCTCAAACCATCAACCAAGGTTCCATAGAATGCTGCATTTTTGTATAGCTTAATCTTAACATCTTAAATGTGAGTAAAATCTAAAATGATTGGGTTGTAATTCTAAAAAAATTCAATTACATTTTCCTGAGTAGGAAATTGAACAGCATTGATTTAATCAGGGATTGGAAACTTCGTTTTAATTTGTTAGACTAAGACATGGAATTATTATAGTGTAATATTTTCATACACTCCTTGTAGAGTCTTGTAAGATTATTCCTATAAGTTAGGGAATAATTGCTATATATTTTATTATTTTATCATTAATAAAACTAATCTAATTAGAAGTTGTTTTATAAAATGATAATTAGACTAGAAACATACAATCATATTGTAATTATGTTAAAATCTAAATAAAAATCTATGGTAGAAATATTTATTGAAGATAGAACTAAATTTGTATTAATCAAAAAGGATTTGAATAATTATTATTATGAATAGTATATTGATTTTCTACTCCTATATTTTGAATTCATTACATTATTTATCCTTTTAGGTATTACTATTCATGATTTCTATTTTATTAATAAGTTGTAGTAAGTTATTTTAATTTCACACTAAGTTTTACTAGTTCTTATTCTATTACAAAATAAATGGTAGATATTGAATATTATTGATGAGATTAGATTATTCACCAAAAGATTTACTAGGAATATGGATGTGATTATATTTATTGTTATTATTCAATTAAATGTTTTTATACATTTATGACATATAAAAAACAGTAAATGTTCAGACCAGGGGTAAGTTAAGATCATATTATTTATCATTAACTAATTTTTAATCATTACATATATTTTAAATAATTCAGTATATATAATTTTATAAAAAACTTTAATTTTTAGATTAATATTATGGTTATTCATCAATAGCAAATAATAAAAGTCGACTCTTATTTTTATTTGATATAATTATTTTATCTATAATTTAGATTCTATATTAAATTATTATTATTATATATATATATATTTTTATGAACTAAGCTTCTTCAAATATTAGCCAAAAGTAAGATGTTAATGATCATAAGTTTATATGTCTTATACATAATAAACCTGCAATTTTCTGTCTTAATTAGTTTTGCCATGAATCTAGATTGCTGTGTCTTAAATGTTTACAAGAAGGAAAACATAATCACTAATAGAATATTCATTATTTTTCAGAAATGTTAGAATTTCTTGAAAAAAGAAAACCGTAAGTATTATCTGTAATAGAATAACTTAATGAAATAGCAAGCCTTATTATGATTTTACAAAAAGAATTTAAAAGTAAGTATGAAATTTCAGAAGAAGATGTATTAGAAATGAATAATAATTAATTGAATTCTTATCTTGAACATATGATAAAAAATGAATAAGAAATTAATCTACTTCTAAAGTCTCTTAAATTTTCATTTAATTCATTTAATGAAACTATTTAATAGAGTAGTGAAATTCTTGAATTAGATTAAACTGCATATTCATGGTCAAATTTGAGATAGAATTAGAAAGATAAAAGTAGTATTATTTATGAAAGCATTGTGTAACCAGGTTAGACTATGTTAAATAATAATGATATCAAATAACCTCTAATCTTAATCTTGAGTATAGAGGATTAAGAATAATAATTCTTAATGAAATTA